CTGCCCGCAGCCTCTGCAGCGCCAGTTCGATCCCCGGCTGCTCCCCGGCCACCGGAGGAGGGTCCCACATGGCGCGCAGACCTCTCCTGCCGCCCGCTGCTCCCCTCAGCAGTGTCCTTCGGTCCTTCTGCCTGCTCTGCTCCCCGCTCTGGCTCTGGTGAATTCTCTCACCCTCCCGTGCTTCTGACTGTACCCAGTGCTTGTATAAATAAATAAATAAATCTTTAAAAAAAAAAAAAAAAAAAAAAAGGAAAGAGACGGGGCAAGCGAGCTCTCAGCCACCCCTCGTCCTCACCTGGGCCCTGGCCAGGGTTGGTGTCCCTCAGAATTGTCACACCCGTACCTCTCCAGTGACTTTAGTAATGACGACAGCTCTTGAGAAGGCAGAGAGCCAGGCTGACTCTTCACTGGTGGGAGTAGGGAGGCCGGGCACTGGGCCCCTCCAACTTAATCCCTGGCTCCTCGCTCTCAAGAAGTCCACAGCCTCCTTGATTGCGCTGAACAGAGTGAGGACGAGGGTGCCCCAGGGAGGGGGTGCTGAGCACAAATGCAGGCAAATCAGGGAGCCTAGGGTGAGAGCTAGAGACCCAGGTGCCCTTGTGCCATCACAGGATGCTGCCCCTGCCCCCACTGAGCAGGTGCTCCAGGCCCCAGGGGCTCCTCCTGGCATGAAGGTGAAAGCCCCTGGTTCCTCAGAGTCCCCAGCCCTCCTCTGCCAAAGTGAGGGGCAGCCTGTCCTGACCCCGGGCCCTGGGTGTGGACATTTGCACAGATGCACACATGCTCATTCAAAAGGACATACGGATGCATGGATGTACCCAGGGACACGCACACAAGCAGGCACTTCCGGTTATGGACCTCAGGGCTGGGCAAACCCTAGACATCTTTCCCCATTTGATGGATCAGGAGCCGGACAAGGGCTGCTGATTTCCTAACCTTCTGCCTTTTCCCTAAACCAACACACTTCCCACAGGGGAGGGGAGCCCCCCAACCTCATGCTGACATAGCTGCCTACCTCATCTCTCCTACATGGGTTTTAGTCCTTGCTCACTTTTTTATCACTGTTGACAGATGAGAAAGCTGAGATTTAGCACCAGGGCCAGGAGTGACAAAGACATACGAAGGACTAGAGGATGTGGGGTGCAAACCCAGGCTCCATGGACAGCCCTCAATGCTGAAGCCTCCCCAAGTCCCTGGCCCCAGACCCCTGACCCTGGCTGCGCTCCAGTTACCCCTGCCCCATGCCTACACATCCATGCCCTCCTCAGAAAAAGCCTGGAAATTTAGACCAAGGGAGGAAGGCAGGCTTCTGTGAATACCCCTAAACTGTGTCCACCAGTAGCCTCTAGTCAGCTGGTGCCCCGCAGCACCGCCTGGCACCAGGAGGCGGGAAGCTTTCTTGGGAGGACTAACGTGAGGGCTGGACAAGACAGAGGTCACATTCTAGGGATGTGTCTGTAGCGCCACCTGGTGGTGATACAGCACACCTGTCACACTCAGCCTTGGTGCTGTGATCAGGCCTGGGCCTAGATTTTAGTGAGCAGCTACTATGTCCTAATTAGGAGAGGGGAAAAGGAGCGGGGGAGTTAGGCCGTGAAGATCTGGACAAGACACTGCAGGCATACAGGACAGCAAGTGCAATGGCCGAGGCGAGACTGGAAGGAGCGGCCTGGTTGCTCACTTCCAGCTCCACCTCCCGCATCACCTCCACCTGCGTTGTTAATGAGGCAGACACCGCTTGTCTGTGGGGAAAGAGGTCCTATGTGTGATGTGGGGGAAGGGCAGCACCTGTCATCACACCCTGGGTCCCAGATGTGTTGAGCTGAGACACCATCCCATACCTTGCAATTTAAAAGGGGTTTCTATACAGCACCTCATCTGAATTTCACAGCACCCTGACAAGTGGGCAGGCCTGGGGAGCTGACCCCCATGGCACTGATGAAGAAGTTCAGGGAGAGATGTCTTCCAGGAGGTCACACAGTGAACTGAAGGTGGGGCTAGGATGAGGCCTGGTTTCTGGTATCATGTGAGCCCAGGATTCTCTGAACAGTTCATGATCTGGGCAGGAATGGAAGCAGTCAGTGCCCCCTGCGGTGCCACCCAGGGAGATGGGAGGAGTAGAGATGGAGGAACATTCAAACTGGGCCTCATTTTGCCGTGACCTTGGTCTGTTCCTCTCCCTCTTGTGTCTTTCTCCTCCATTCAGGGAAAGACTGGATGTGGTAACTTCTAAGATTTCTCTTCCCCACAGCCTCTGACTGTGGCGTCCAGGAGGAGAGGAGAAAAAAAGACACAGGTTCAGGGCCGGGAAGATCCCAGGACCTGAGGTTGGGGGGCTCAGCTGGGTGGCTAGGGGCCAAGGATAGGGTTGGGAGGGGCTGAAGAAGCAGCATGGTGTCAGGGAAGCCATTTCAGTTTCCACAGTGGTCAGACAGGGTCAGCGTGAAAGTCCTGGCCCAGCAAGTGGGGCAAATGTCAGTCTTTCCCGCACAGGGTCAGAGGCTGGGCTTGGGCCTTGGGGCTGCTGGGCAGGGTAGCTGAGGCAGCATCTAGGGAGATGTCAGATCAGGCCTTGGTTCTGGCTGCTTTGGCTGGCTGACCTCTGAGGACCCGAGGGAGGGTTGCCCTTCCAGCGTGGACAGGCCCAGGCAGTGCCAGCGCCTCAGCAGAAGACTACTGGGCTGGTGGAAAGAACTCACACTTCGGAGCCACCAGGTCTGGGCTTGAACCTTGGCACAGTGGGGTTGGTAGCTGTAAGGTCCTGGGCCTGTCACCTAAGTCCTCCCTGAGTCTCCATGTTGTCCTCTGTGGATGCCATGGGGGTCTTGTGAGGAAGGCGCGTGGCTCTGAGAGGACGCACTGTGAGTCCTCCTTCTGGCCTTTCCTGCAGTCCACGTGGGCCAGCACCAGCCTGCAGGTAGCATCGAGACCCTTACTGTGCTCCCATCCCTGGTCTGGACTTGTGGAGGGGCTTGGGGTCAGGCGGTGTGGAGCTGGAGACAGCAGGAGTCAGCCTGGTGGTTGGAGGGTTTGCTGAAGTGAGGAGCAGATAGGGCCACCACACAGCGAGGGCCAGTGGGGACCTGCAGCACCCACCTTCAGACCTGTTTCTTGGTTCCTTTCTGCTCACCCCTATCTCTGGCTGGCAGCTTTCCCAAATTAGCTGCTGACGTCAGGAGCTGCCAGCTGGGCACAGCCGCAGGCGGGAGGTGTGTGAAGGCTGCTTGGTGGTTGGGCAGTGGAGGAAGGGGTGAGTGTCCAGTTCTGGAAATGAGGCCTCCAGGGAGGGGGCGGTGCCTGCCAGGCCCTCACACACGTCCTTATTGTGCAGAGACCCTCAGGCGGGAGAGGTCCTGCAGCCAGTGTGGTGTGGTCAGGTCCGCAGACCCCCTCCCTGATGGCGGGAAGCTGCTGGGCCAGGAGGGGGAGTCAGAGCAGCCCCTGCCTTCCGTCCTCACCACCAGGGCAGCTGCTGTGCCGAGACCTGCCCTGTGCCAGCTGCCCGAGGGACCGGCAGTTCACACATCAGGGAACGGAGCCCAGTCAGGGCGTGACTTGCCCAAGATCACACTCCAGGCTGGTGACGGGGCAGAGGCCCAGCGGCACTCCCGGGAAGCCTGCCCGGCCGCAAGCCCATGGCCCTGTGCTCTGTGGCTGCACCAGGCCGCACCAATCGCTGCTTTGGTGAGAGCATTTGTGCGCAGAGTAGCAAATGCAGCCTCTTCAAATCCAGAGAAGGGCCTCCTGGGCCCAGTGGTCACGGGCTTACCCTGGCTCCATCAGCGGTGCCCGGGGCTGGGGTCAGAGTTTCACCCAGCATCCCTGGGGACCGGGTCCTGGCAAGGCCTTTGAATGAAGGTTGGCCCCTGGGTCAAAGGTTCTGTTCACATCACATGGGCCTCCCTGGCTTCTCCGTCTCCTCCAAGTCTCAGCCGTGTGTGGCAGCACCAGGGCCCTCCTCACCCTGGGCACCCCCAACTGCTTGTTTGCCTCATGCCTCACCCCAGGCGTGTCTGCATGGGGAGGTGTGGGCGAGGTGAGAGCTGCCCCGGGGCCCTGCACCGCGTGTGTGTGTGTGTGTGTGTGTGTGTGTGTGTGAGAACCACATCCACGCACCCTTCTGGCCTCCCGGACGCCTCCACTCGGCCTTCTCCCAGGCCCCGTCCCCCGTCGCGGCACTCACCGCAGCTCATCCATCTGTCTTCCTCGCAGGTCGGGAGGGAGGAGGCAGGACCCGCACAGAATGGGCCCCCAATACACAGCTGCCGTGTCCCCAACATGGAGCCCGCCCTGCACAGTGGGGGGCTGGGAGGCGGGAAGACCCCAGGGTGAGTTGGTTGACACGGCCCTGGTCCCAGGGGAGGGACAGTCCACCCGCATGACCTCGGTCCTGCCCCCCTGCTCTGGGCTTGGGTCTTGGCTTCTGTGACTCCGACCCATCACTGGGTTCAATGGCCGTTTTCAAAAGACCACCTCGCCGCCCGCTCCACACCCCACGTTTCCCTTGGAAGAGGGGACCCCAGCACCTGACGGGCGGCGTGGATTTGAAGAGGCTGCATTTGCTACTCCGCGCACAAATGCTCTCACCAAAGCAGGGATTGGCGCGGCCTGGTGCCGCTGTAAAACCACTTGCAGCAGAGGAAGCTGGAGAGAGCAGGGGCTGGGGGTGGATGGATGAGGCCGCCCACGCCCCATGAAGCTTAGGGGTGCTAGGCCAGCCCCTGGCAGGGCCTAGTGAGCCGGGTGGCGGCTCACTCTGAGCCCTCACGTGGTTGTGCCCTCGCTGTGGGCTTCTCTTTGGTGGTGCAAAGCTCACGGTCACAGAAAAAACCTTGCAGGAGACCGGAAGAAGCACAGCCCCACCACCAAGACTCAATCTTTTCCATCTTTTTGCGTTTTTCTCCCAATTGCCATCCTGAGCCCCTATTTGGGGGCCTCTCTCCAGCAGCCCCGCATCTACCAGTCGAGCCTGGATGCCGAGACTGTACAGGGTCTGAGCACGGCCCCGCTCCCCATGGGGCAAGTGCGTGACGCAGCAGGTGGGGCTTCCTCCCACCCGGCAGCAGGACAGCGAGACACGGATGGTTAGGTGACTTGGCCAAAGGCCTCTGGCTGGTGATAAAGGGGTGCTGGGGTGCCCCTCAGGCTTCAGGCCAACATGCAGGGAGAGGAATGATGGGAAAGTAAAGACAGACCCCACAATTCTCGTCTCAAAATATTTAATTTTGTTTTGAAAAGGATACATTCCCAGCTTCCCTCCCCACCACATCACTCCGGCCCACCAGCAGTGACACACTCATGCGGGCGCGCACGCGCACAGACGCACACAGACACACACACAGACACACGCACGTAAGGCCAATGGGCTATGGTCTGCTTCTGCCCTCTCCAGCTGGGAAGAAAGGGTTCTCTTCCTGCCCCCGTCCCCAGACAAAAGTAAAGGAGAGGGGGGCCCACTGGAAAGCCAGCTCCCAGGGAGGACACAGAGCCCCACACGCTCAGTCACGTCTCATGCACCTAGAAAAATAAAACCAAGTGGTGTTCTGGCATCCCCAACACTGTAAGACAGCAATACCCACCTGGAAGTCATCTTTGCCATTTTCTAGAAAAATTTATTGCACTTAATTAACAGATGTCAAAGGAGCTCTGGGTGGGGCTTTACTGTGAAAACCAGGGGCTCTCAGCCCCCCGCGCTACAGAGCAGAGCTCCCGGGGCCTGCGGAGGGCCACCCGGCACATGGCGGTCAGCGCCTGCGGGCCCCCGCACTGCCCCTGGCCAGGCTGGAGGAGCGTGGAGAGGCCCCCTGAGCAGAGAGAAGGTTCCCTACCAAGAGCCGTCCCCAACCTCAGGACCCAGACAGGAAAACCTCACTCGCTGGCCGAGGGAGTCACCCGGGTCCTCCACGAGGCTGCTGGCCGTCGTCAAAGCGCGCGCGCGCTCTCCGAAACAAACAAAATATATATATATATATACTTCTAGATAGACATTTATCATACATATATTCTTGCAACATTCGAGTTCATTCATGATTTGTCTCTTCTGAGGCTGTACGGAGGCTGCTAAAGAAGGGGTGCGCTTCCCAGCCGCGGCGAACCCGCACGAAGCCCGACACGCTCGAGCCCCCAGTGCTTCTAAAGTCAAAGATGCCAGCACAAGAGCCTCGGTCTTCGGATGTTGGGCCCAAGACACAGAGTCCAGGAGGGAGTCAGGGAGACTCCCGATCCCATGACAGAAACAAGCAGACACCAGCCCCCTCCTTCCCACAAGGAAGGAGACACCCGCACCTAGGCACCCCCTCCCCAAAGGTCAGCCCCCAGGGCGCAGGCGCCTGACTCAAGGGAAGCTTCCAAAAGGGGCCCGTGGCCACACTCCTCCGAGTAAGCTAAGCACTCTGGGAAGGAGCCAGACACCCACTGTCTGCGGGGGAGGGGTGCTGCACAGGCAGGAGGAGGGATAGAGGGGCCCACGCCCCACCCCTGGGGTCAGAACATGGACGACGCCCAGGGATTAAATGTCTACCCTTTAAAAAGTAAAACTGAAAAAACACAAACCATACACTTTCTGGCCAAAGAAAACGAAGAGCTCTTAAGCTGGAGGCTCTTCTACGAAGAACAAAATGAGAACTGCCGTCTTGGTGGGCAGCCAGGCCAGAGGGAGCGCGCCCGGGCGGGCGGGCTGCCCGGGGCAGGACGCTGACATGCTGGATGCGACTGCCCTGGTGTGGTTACAAGAGAGTGGAAAGTGTGTGCGTGGTTTCTACAGAACCGCAGAGGGAAGGTCAGGGGCCCGGAGAAGGGCTCTCCGTGGGCCTCGGGGCTCCTGCCAAGTCCCCGGGGAGGCGGGCGCACAGGTCCTGCAGGGCTCCTCCCCGGGGCGTGGTCCAGTCACGAGGGTGCCCCCGAGCTTTAACAGCTGTTATAAAAAGTCTTCAGGAATCGGGATGCAGGACCTGGAGCCACCACTTTAAAAAAGCCAGGGGCGTGACAACAGGCCCGGCCACCTCTTCACCGCAGGCTGCCTGCCCTGAGCAAAGGAGAACGCACCCATCCCCAGACGCCCCCGCGGCGGGGGGTCCGTGGCGTCCTCGGTTCCTCTTCCAGGCAGCGCGAGACATGGAGTCTGGCCAGACACAGGAGAGGAGCAGCTGCGAGGTAGTGAAGCACAGCTGCAGGAGCCCCCGCACCAGGCTGTGTAGACGGCCCCCAGCTCCCGGGACCGGGGTTGGGGGACACTAGCCCTGTAAATGTCCCAAGAGCTGCTATTCCACCAGAGTCGAGCTGTGACCCTGCGAGCCTGACAGCGTCCTACCTGGCCGACGCCCTCGGGCAGCCTGCCTGGAGGAGCCTGAGGCGAGAACTGGGAAGCCCTCTTCTGCCTTCAAGGATGGCGAACTCCAGCCTGGCCCACATCGCAGAGCAGAGCCAAAAAAAAAAGCTTCTCAAGAAACATGCTCGGCCCCCCGGGCCACACGGTGAGGGGTTGCGGAGGCCAATTTTCCAAATGTCGTGTGGAAGGTGCATCCTGGGTCCAGAAGTTAAAGTTGCCTGGGTGAGGGGGGTTTCCTCTTAAATCCAAGATCTGAGATAGGTTACTGGGTGAGAAGAAACAGCAGGCCTAGCAGCCCCGTCTAGAGGACACAGGAGAAGCAGGTGGCCTCCACCAGTGACCTGCCAAAGTGGACGAAGAGCCCGCCCTCCGCGCTGGGGCTCCAGGCTCGGGGGCGCAGCCTGGACTCCGTCCCCTGCAGCGGATGAAACACAGGGCGACCGCCACAGCCGCCTCCCGGCTCAGGCCTCAGAGCTGCAAGGGGTAGGGGTGCGGGAGTGAAGGACAGCTGAGCGCGCTTCCACTGCAGGCCCCAGGCCCAAACCCTATCCCAGGCTGCACGGAGAAGCCCTCCCGTGGCGAGGCACCCAGGTGGACATGGAGGAGTGGCGGCGTCTCTGAGGGAGGCGAGAGCAGACGCGTCTCTCACAGCCTTGCCGGGGAGGGTGACGTGTACAACAGACACACTCAAGCTGGAAACGCACCCCGCTGCCGGATGAGACCGGGGTGGCCGTGAGCACGACTCATTTTGCAGACAGGCCTTGATGGTCAGGCTGGAGATGAGGGAGAGGCAGGGGAGCCTGAGCGCCTGTGGAGGAGAGACGTACGCTCCAAAGGTCCCTTCCAATCCACCCGGGACATCCAGGAACAGAAACCACGGCTGAATCGCTGTCTGTGTAGCTTCTCGCGTCCCTGCCAGCGAGGAGGCTGGCCCCCCGGAAAATCGCCACATGATAATGAAGCTTGAACGCGAACGCTCCTGGAGCAGGGCACCGCCCTCGCCTGCGACGAGTCATAAGTCTCCACGCGTGTGTGGGGTTCCAGGGAGCCCCCCCAGCAGCGGTCTGAGGAGCAGGCAGTGCTGCCCGGGCAGGGGCACAGGTTACAAGGGCCCGTACTTGGTCTCATACTTGGACACGATGGTCTTGCACTTGCCCACCTCCTTGCGCAGCTCCGCCACTTCCGTCCGCAGGGCCGTGTTCTCCTTCTCCAGGAAGGCCGCCCTGATGGTGATCTGGTTCTCCTTCAAGCGCCGGGCGTCCCGGGACCGCTTGGCTGCCACGTTGTTCTTCTTGCGGCGTGTCCAGTACTTTTCATCCTGTGGGGAAGTGTCCTCTGTGGGTCTCTCATCTTTCCCCACAAGGAAACATCAGCCACCGCTCCATACCCCAGATTCCTCCCACGACACATCTGCCCCGTTTGAGCTGATGCCAGGCCCGTGGGGAGGGAGCTGCAGACGCCGAGGACCGTGACGGACCCTGCCTTTTCCCCAGTCTCCGGGTATGAGCTCCGTGGTGGAGGGAGAGGGCTCACTTCCTGGGAGCCCCTGTGTGCTCCTCAACTGTCAGCACCGCCTACACCCCTGCCTCAGTGGTGTCAGGGCCCAGCCCTGAGCTGGCTTTGCCACTCACTAGCAGCGCCGTGGGTTCCTTACCTGCACAATCGCGACAGTAACCGCGACTACCTCACGGAGGTGACATGTACACAGTGCTGGTGACGTGCTGGCCTACCGGGAGGCCCAGGTAGACGTTCACTGTCACCACCACCGTTATAAAGCCTCCGAGACCCCTGGCAGGCAGTGCCTGAGAGTTATTTTCACCTCACAGAGGGGGAGCCTCAGGCACAGCCATGTCTGGGTGGCAAAGTGGAGTTTGAACCCAGGTCTCCTGACTCCAGAGCACGATGCAAAATCCTTTCTGCGAGTTTTCCACAGGAGAGGAGGGGGAGACGACCAAATCCTCCTCTCCCCACCCCAGCTCCTAAACGATCAGCTTGAAAGCGGCAGGCCTGTCCCGGGAATGGCAACACACAACCATCTTCCGTCCTTCCGAGAGAGGGCCTACCCACGCGCGAAGCAGAGGGGAAGAGGAGCCGCAGGGCATCATGCTGGGACCGCGGCCACCCAAGTCCCTTTCTTACTACCGAGTGCCGGGAGCACACAGGGAGGGGCTCCACTCCCAGAGTGTCAGGAAGCTCCGCCCCTGTGCTGGGGACACCCCCACTTTGAAAGGATACCAGGTTACCTTCTGCTCGTCAGGAACAAAGACCTTCTTGGCCTTTTTGATCATGGGCTGGGGTTTCAGGTCCTCCTCTGCAAACTTGTGCTTCCGAGGGTTGAAGAGCTCCCCGCCAGGCACGCTGGAGAGGACCAGGTCCGCAGGGTCGGGGTTGAAGTTCACATCCACCTCCACGCAGCTGGGGTCAATGGGACTGGGAGTCTCCCTCTCCTTTTCCAGGGGGGATTCTGAAAAACAGGCAGGTGGTCCTCAAGCGGCTCACCTCAGGTCACACACGGCCTGGACCTCAAGGGGCACACAAGTCACTGCCGCTTGGAGGGGAGAAGAGCGGTGCCAGCACAGCCCCCAAGTCAGGCTGGCACACACGATTCAACTCGGCAGCACAAACGTGGGAAGCGTCTTCTCGGGAACAGAATGCTCAAAAGGAAACAGAGGCCCTTGAAAAAGACAGGATTTTCTGACTGCTCCCCGCCCCCCACCCTAACATTATGCAAAACATTAAATCCGTTACCCCCTTAAAACTTCCTGCGGTTTCCAGTTCTCAAGTAATGCAAACCAGCTGAAGCGCTCTGTGAACCGCAGGGGCACAGACGAGTGATAAAATGGCTTCCATTTCTGAGTCCCTGAAACCCGCGGCGAGCTCACGGCTGGCAACACCCCGAAAGGGAGAAGGGTGCTTTTAACACTGTTTTTCAGAAACAAAGGTTCAGAGAAGCGACACGGGCTCCAGGGCCACGCAGACGGCGGCTGGCTGAAGTGCACGCCGCGCTGGGGCCTGGGGGAGTCTGAAGCCTCCTTCTTCCCCGCCGGACCTGGCTGCCGCTTCAGCCTGGACTTTGGATTAAAGGCACTTTCGGAACGCGACGGCTGCGGGCTAGCAGAGATGTCACTGGAAAAGCAACGGTGCCCCTGGCCACTCACTCGCGCTCCTGGAAAGAATGCAGAGTTGACTCCGCTACCCGAACACCGACCCCCGCCAGGGTGTCCAGGCAAAGAGAAAGCAGCCCGTAACACGAAGTCCCTGCTTTCCTGGAATGTTACTCCAGGGGGAGGGCTGACCTCACACAGATAAATAAAAAAAAAAGTCTATGAAAATGCTGGATGCCTCAAAGACAACGGGGAGAGCAGCTCAGAGGGCCTGGCTGTGCGCGCCCGGGCGAGTCCCGCAGAGGCGTGGTGGGGGCGGGAAGGGGAGGCAGAAACGCGGGGCCTCTGATCCCTGAGCAGTGCTTCTCAACAGGGGACAGTTCTGCCTTGCAGGGGCAGTGACAGGCTCGGGGTGAGGGAAGTGGCACCTGCGAGGATGCTACTAAATATCCTGGAACGCAAGGAAACGCCCTCCCCCACCCCAACAAAAACATGATCTGGTCCAAAGGTCAGTAACACCACAGATTCTGATGGCGACCCTGAGGGAGGGAGGGTGCTGGAGGGCTCTGAGCCGCAGTGACTTGACCTGGAACGTGCTCGTGCCCCTACAGGCAGGGTATCTTCCCAGAGAAAGTTACAAAGAGGGCGGAGCGCCAGGGCGTGAGCGCCCAGGGACCCACTCGAACGCAGGAAGGGCTGACTCCGCAGCTGGAGACACAGCCGAGGGGCTCTGGGGACTGCACGGAGTGAAACCGCCTCAGTGCCCTTCAGCACTCGGTTGCAGTTTCAGGGGCAGGACAAGAGAAAACCCCCGAGGAAACAAGGGGACAATTTGCAAACAAGGGGACAAATTACCTAAACAAGAGGCTTAGGGCAAGGACTTGGGGGGGGGGGGAATTCCCCGTCCCCAGTTGGTTAGCCCAGGGGCCAAATTCTAGCAAGGGACTGTGAGATCTTAACATGACTGGGCTGGAGGAAAAGGGAAAGTTAGCAGATCTGCTGGACATGTGATTGAAATGAACTTCTGAGGTTCCTCATCACAAAAGATAAGAAAATCAAGCTCATCTGCTGACGACCAGAGCCCCAGACCCCGGCGGCGGCGGGGGTGTGAACGGGTACAGCCACGTGGAACACTAGCTGGCAGCGAGGGTAAATGTATGCGTGTCCACGTCCTACCGCTGGGCCACCTACGCCAAGGGCAGTGCCCAGCAGAAAGGCATACATGTATTTACCAAGAGTCATGCATGTAAGTGTCCACGCCAGTGCTGTGCATGACCCCAAACCAGAAACATGCCTAACGCCCGCTGATCTTAAGAGCGGATACCTGTTCGTATACTGGAATACTAGTCAACCAGGAAAACGAACCAGTCCCGCTATAGGCAATGACACGGATTAGTCTCACGGACACGAAGTGGAGGAAGGAAGCCAGACACAAGAGAATACACACTACTGACGACTTTTCTACAGAAGAAATGGAAAAGTTAAGAAAAACTGACTTTCATTTCTACTATGTGTGTAATTGTCATAAGTCTGAGCTTCATCTGCACTGTGTTTTTCCTGTCACAGAAGTTGTCTGTAACTATGTTCTATAAATCTATTTGGTTAACGTAAAGAGTCTGATGCCCATGTAATGTGTATATGTACTACAAAGTGAGCCAGAGAGAGCGGTAAATATAATCAAGAGTTTAAATGTGGGCCTCCCCGGTGGCGCAGCGGTTGAGCGCTGGGTTGCGAAGCTGCCCGCGGCCTCTGCGGCACCGGTTCGATCCCCGGCTGCTCCTCGGCCACCAGAGGAGGGTCCCGCATGGCGTGCAGACCTCTCCTGTCGCCCGCTGCTCCCCTCAGCAGTGTGCTTCGGTCCTTCTGCCTGCTCTGCTCCCCGCTCTGGCTCTGGTGAATTCTCTCACCCTCCCGCGCTTCTGACTGTACCCAGTGCATGTATAAACAGAACAAACAAACAAACAAATAAATAAATAAACATGCCTCTATTAAAAAAAAAAATTTAAAAAAATTTAAAAAAAGAGTTTAAATGGGCCTCCCCGGTGGCGCAGCGGTTGAGCGCTGGGTTGCGAAGCTGCCCGCGGCCTCTGCGGCGCCGGTTCGATCCCCGGCTGCTCCCCGGCCACAGGAGGAGGGTCCCACATGGCGCGCAGACCTCTCCTGCCGCCCGCTGCTCCCCTCAGCAGTGTACTTCAGTCCTTCTGCCTGCTCTGCTCCCCACTCTGGCTCTGGTGAATTCTCTCACCCTCCCACGCTTCTGACTGTACCCAGTGCATGTATAAACAAAAACAAACAAACAAACAAACAAATAAAATAAATAAATAAATAAAACATGCCTCTATAAAAAAAAAAAAAAAAAAGAGTTTAAATGTAATGAACTTATTTAAAAGCACAAAGAATATGATGTATAATTCCTTTTACTGAAAGTTCAGTTACAAATGAAAAGAATCCTTGGTGTGAAAACAAGAATAGCGATTACCTCTGGGGAGTACTGGCTAAGTGGGTCACAAGGCACTTTTAGGGTGTCAAATGCCATTCTCTATCCTGATCTGGAGTGTCATCACATGGGTGGGCTCCCTCTGTGAAGATTCACCGGGTGGCACACTCAGGACACGGGCATCCCGAAGCCTTCATGAAGAAGGTCTACTTAAAACCCAAGGCGAATGTTGCCAGTGTGCTCTAAGGCGTAAGACGCCAGTGTTCATTTCCAAGCGCTACCCCCAGCCACACATGGAAACTGCCTCCGAGAACAAGCTGACCCACAAGACCACAGCTGGAATCAGGCGGCGTCTCTATCTCTTACCAGCTTAGAGGGTAAAAGAAGAGGAGCATGACAGAGGTGCTGTAAGAAAAACCCAGCACGTGCAAAACTCTGTAGGAGAAATGATTTGATTTCTTCAACAAATAAATTTTAAAAACAGCAGGGGGAGGAGAGCCTTAAGTTACAAAAGATTTAAGAGACGTATCAGGGCCTCCCCTGGTGGCGCAGGCGGTTGAGCACAGCGCTGTGAAGCTGTCCGCAGTCTCTGCAGCGCCGGTTTGATCCCGGTGGCCCGATGAGGGTCCCACATGGCGCAGCTGACCTCTCCTGTCTCACCCGCTGCTCCCCTCAGCAGTGTATTTTGTCAGTCTGCCTGTTCTGTTCCCCACTCTGTCTTGGGTGAATCCTCTCACCCTCCTGCACATCTGGCCTGTACCCCGGTTCTTGTATAAATAAATAAATCTAAAAAAAAAAAAAAAGAGAGTGAGAAATGTATCAACCAAACAAAATGTGAGTATTGTTTGCACCCCAATTCAAACAAACTGTGAAACAGTAATTTTTTATGAGACAACTCTGGAAATCTGAATGCTGATGGAGTTGTCATCTATTTCACATAAGAAACTGGCATTAAGTTATGTTTGGAAAGAATCCTTATTTGCCTCCCTGGCTCCCTGAATATCCTTCATTGTCATAAAGGACGTGGTAACTATCCGGACCAGGAAGCTCATGATCCACTGATCGCTTCAATGGAAACAAATGGTCACCGACATCCTCCACCCTGGGAAGGCAACAGCATCCAAGACAGAAATTCCAGAAAAATTAGCTAAAATGTACAAGACCCACCCCCAATGTCATCTTTGTATTTGGATTCAGAACGCATTTTAGAGGTGGCAAGACAATGGGCCTTAGCATGATTTACAATTCCTTGGATGATGCAAAGAAAAATGAACCCAAACACAAGCTTACAAGACGTGGCCTGCACGAGAACACCTCAAGAAAGCAGCGAAAGGAACACAGAACCTAACAAAGTCATGGGGACAGCAGAGGTGAGGCTGGTGCTGGCAAGAGGAGTAACAAAGATCCCGCAGGGCCTTACTGGTGCCTGTGTGACTGTGCAGATCCTTCGTGAGAGGATAAATGAAAGCTTTCATGTGTCTGGCTGCTTCAAAAAAAGTTAAAAAAAAAAAAATAAAATAAAAGAACGCTTATGTGTTACATACACATAATATGTGTGTAATTGTACAATAATGTGGAAATGTTTATAGATGAAATGACGTAATGTTCAGGATCTGAATGAGAATAAGCAGGAGAGGGGAGGGAAGAGGTTATGGAAAACAAGGCTGGTTATGAGTTAAGAATCATGGAAGTCGGGCCTCCCCGGTGGCGCAGCGGTTGAGCGCTGGGTTGCGAAGCTGCCCGCAGCCTCTGCAGCACCGGTTCGATTCCCCCGGCTGCTCCCCGGCCACCGGAGGAGGGTCCCGCATGGCGCGCAGACCTCTCCTGCCGCCCGCTGCTCCCCTCAGCAGTGTACTTCGGTCCTTCTGCCTGTTCTGCTCCCCACTCTGGCTCTGGTGAATTCTCTCACCCTCCCGCGCTTCTGACTGTACCCAGTGCATGTGTAAACAAAGCAAACAAACAAACAAATAAATAAATAAAAAAAACATGCCTCTTAAAAAAAAAAATTAAAAAAAAAAATGCTTTAAAAAAAAAAAAAAAAAGAATCATGGAAGTCGAGTAATGGTTACGTGGGGGTTTATTACAGCAGTGTCTTCCTTTTGTATTTGAAAAACTTTCCATAATAAAAAGTCAAAAATAAAAAAGCAGAGGATGAGTGTCCTTGTGTGCAGGTTCCCTGAGTCCCTCCCAGAGCGATCAGCCTGCACACACTGAGCCTGCAGAGGGCTTTGCGGAGCCCCAAAACAGGCCCATACCGCCTCGGTGGATTCCTGTCCATAGGGAACGAAAACCCAACCGACCTACAACCGACCCCCAGAGGGAAAGGAGAAAACGGACAAGAGGATGAGGGAGGAAGCCCCAAGATGCCGCTTCTCCTGACTGGGCGCCGGGACCGCCTTTGTGTGCGCCTGTCTGAGCAGGACCTGCTTATGGAGTCAGACGTCCTGAATGCAAGTGCTGCCTGCACTGCCTGCCAGCTGTGTGACCTTGGGCAAGTTACTTAACTTCTCTGTGCCTCAGTTTCCTCACCTGTAAAATGGGTATAATAGAATCAATTTCATAAGATTTTTGTGAGAATTATGTGTTAATTCTCCTGGCATAGAATAAGTGCTTAATAAATTCTGGCCAGCATTATCATTATTGCCTGGGCTTGCCAATACTCCATGCAAATTGGGGTACCGAGAAAATGCTGCACAGGATTTCCATCCTGCAAAGCCTCAGACTGAAGCACTCACCCCACTGTCCTGGCCATCTGCAGGCACCAACCAACAGAGAGCCTGCCGCTGCAGATGTGGCTGCTATTTTTATCTCCAGCCTCAGAGGACTGTGCTGAAGGGGGAGCAGAGGACTTCTCTACACCGCCAGCCCACCAGGACCTCTCCTGGCAGAAGGGCTCATGGGGACACCAGCAGCCCTCAGCGGGCCACGGACTCCCTTGGATGGGCAGGCGGCCCTGCCTGCGGACGCCTCACCAACCTGTGCTGGACACGGCCTCTGAGGGCTGGAAGACAGTGGCGGAGGCGGACGGCGGGGAGGCTGCAGAGGAACTGGCCGACTCCTTGCCTTCCAGCTCAGCCACAGGGAGCAGCAGATTCTGGGCCAGGTGAGTGGGGCTGGCAGGGATGCCGTTCTCCAGCAGGAACTCGTCCAGGTCCATGTATTCCAGGTGGAAAGACTCGCCGTCGTACGGGATGGTCTTATCCCAGATGGGCGGCATGAGGGAGGCGGAGACGGCCATGGTGCTGGCTGCCGCTGTCTCGTCCTCCTCCAGCTTCTCCTTCCCCTTTTCCTTATCTGCAAACACAAACCGGGATGAGACACCACACAAGTGGGTAACAGGACCCCAGCAGGCAAACAGTGAGCTTTCACAGGGCTGACCATGTCTCGGCCCTGATCTATGTCAACATCTCAAGAGTCTACCTGGTTCTTTGGTTATAACCCGGGGCTTCAACCAGACCTAGCCGATGCCCCCAGAGTCAGGCGCGCACCCTCACCCACGCAAGGCCTCCCGAAACGCCCACGCAAGTCCTGCAGCCTGATGTGGTCCCCGTGCTAATTCAGATGGGCTGTAGGGCTCACATGTGCAGGCGAGGCTACAAGGGAGGGGTGGGGATGCCAGCCCCAGCTGCCACCACAGGAAAGGGCTGACTCCCTGGCCAAGAACTTGTGTTCTCCTGTCCCATCCCCTGTAGCTATGCTTCTGTACCACATCCCAGCCTGGGGCCTCATCCCAGCTCTATCACCCACCTGCTGTGATGTGTGACTGTAACTATGTTTTTTAATTTCTCTGGGTCTCAGTGTCCCCTATAAAAATAAGGATAAAGCTGCCCCCTGGGGGCCTCCCTGGTGGCGCAGGCGGTTGAGCGCCGCACTGTGAAGCTGTCCGCAGCCTCTGCAGCACGGGTTCGATCCCAGCCTGCCGGCGAGAATCCCACATGGCGCAGCAGACCTCTCCTGTCTCACCCGCTGCTCCCCTCAGCCGGTTGTTTCTTCAGTCTGCCTGTTCTGTTCCCCGTTCTGTCTGGTGAATCCTCTCACCCTCCCGCACATCTGGCCTGTACCCTGGTTCTTGTACAAAAATAAATAAATCTTTAAAAAAAAAAAAAAATGCCTCTTGGGTGAAGACTGGAAGTGGCACCTGAAAGTGTCTGCTACAGTTCCTGGCACACAGTAGGTGTGCATTATTACTGGGAGCTCTTGAGGGCAGTGGTGGAATCTGATTCACCGCTCGATCTGGGGGCCAAAGGGGGAGCAGGCAGGCAGCGGGTCATGGAGAACAAGTACACTGAATGGAAAATGCTGGGTTTGCACTCAGACTCCCTCGGGCTTATCAGCTGGAGAAAGCCTGGAGCTGCCTTTCCAGGACATTTTTCAGACCCACCATTTCAAGAGACTTCTATCCATGAAGACAGCATTTTCTGGGGGAAAAAAGTGGAGCTGAAGGACAAAGGCTGCTCCCCGTTCCCCCACCAAGGAGAAAGGCTGCTCTCAAGGATGCAAAACGAATCTATGAGTGGGTACGGGTGCCCACCAAGTTATCTCCATGAAAAAGGCGTGGATGTGGACACCTGAGGTCAACTTACGAGAAAAAAGACGAGAAAAAAGTGACAAGGTGGGAAAGAAATCAGAGTGATGGGGAGGTTAATCAGGGCGGTGGGAGGCGAAATCATGACAAGTTCATAATGGATTTTCAGAACGGAGGGAGACGACGCTAACTATGGGTTCTGAAGTAAAAAAGAGAAATCAAACATGCTATGCTGGAACTAAGCCAGTCATGCTCGGACTCCTGGATCACAGATGGCCAAAACGCAGCCTATTGGTCCAATAAACATGGACACGCCCAGTGAATTAAGAAGGTGGAGGCTTTGCAAACAGAACTTGGTCATGGCTTTTAATACCGATGAAATTAAGTTCTTGCAGCTACCTTCTGGGCCAGGCTTTGGTTTAAAACCAAAAGGGAAGTAAGAAAGTCAAGCTCTGGTGTGCTGTACGGGCCAGATGGCCTCCCTGGTCTCCTCCCAAGAGCCCGAGTCTTCATTCTGTTCAGAAATGACTAAACCACGTTGAGTAGGGTCACTTGGGATCAAAGGGGGTGGGAGAAGGGAGGCGAGAAAAACAGTCATGCTGCAGGACAAGACACAATATGTTCCAGGTGGTGACTGGTGTAAGCAATTAAGGATGTTTTTAATGAGTGTTTTTAAAAGAGTCTTTTACATTGTTAGAGATGCTGAAGGAGCAGGCCCAGCACCAAGTCACGCTGCCATCAGAGGCTGCCAGTAACACAGCAAAGAGCACCAGACTGAGAGCAAGGCCTGGCTGTGTGACCTTGAGGAAGCATCCTCACCTCTCTGAGTCTCTGCTTCCTTCACCTGGGAAGTGGGGAGAATGCCACACAGCACTGTTGTGGAAGACTAAATAAGGTTATGCCAAAGTGCACTGTGGGCATTCTACAGAGAAGGTACAGTTATTGTGATGAACGTCACTGCTGGTGATCTTGAACAAGAACCTGACAGGTATTTACACCTGTTCTGGCTGCTTGTGTCAGCCCTAGATTTGGAACAAAGGATCGCCTTAAAAACAAACAAAAGGGTTTGTGCACATGAGGTCCCTAATCAAGAGGAGAGCCTGGCCTCACCTGATGTACTAAAGCTATTTATAGCCCAACAGTGACAGCCACAGGAATGGGAGCCTCAGAACACACCAGGAAGGGAAGAGAAATGGCATTTTTAAAAGGAAAATTAATTTCCCAAGACAGGTAATTGTCTATTCATTCCCAAATCCCTGAAATACACTGATGGTTCTTGGAAATGCAAAGGTCTCCGATGAAAAACATATCACAGTCCACCTAAACCCCACAATAGGTGGCACACCTGCTGCTCCCTGAACCTCCTATTCCCAAGCCCCCCAAACAGGGCCAAACCTGCTTTCCACCCACTCACGTAAGCCCCAGGGACCCTTGTGGCCCAGGAAACAGCCGCAGCTCAGCCCTGCCACGGCGGCCCGAGGTCTGGGGTCAGCGCGGAAAGCCAGATGTCAGGCCTCCTCCCGGCCCTCGTCCTGCCCGGCCCAACTCCCTCTCAGAAGGGGCCTGGCACCCCTTCTCCAGGCCCTCCCCCCGCACCGCCCACCCCAGCAGCAGTTCCCTTCCCGAGAACCCCGCGTGTACCCAGGCGGGCAGGGCGAGGACCGGGGCCCTCCCGGGAGGGCGGCCAGCGGCCGGCGGAGACCGCGCTCGCAAACTTCAGCGGACTTTGGAATCACGGGGGGGTGGGTGGTAACGGGGTGCTCCCTAAAATGCAGATTCCCGTCTGCTAGGCGCGGACTCGGCGGGCGAGGGTGGGGCCAGAACAAGTATTTTTAACGAGCATCCCGAGCGGCCGGCGCAGGCGCTCCCCGAGGCGGCGCCCTGGAGCGTCGTGCGGGCGGCCGCGGCCCACCCCGCCGGCCCCGGCCGCCTCCCCCGCGGCGCCGGCCCCCGCGGCGGCCCGGGGCTGCCCCCGACCCTCCTCCCCGCGACCCGACCCGCGGCCCCCGCCCCCTCCCCACCCGGCTCGCCCCGCGGCGCCCCCTCCGCCCGGCCCGGCCCCGCCGCGGGACCACTGCCCCCTGACCTCCGACCTCCCGGCCCCACCCCCGCCAGGCCCCGCCCCCGCCAGCCCCGCCCCCAGCGCGCGGACCCCCCCCCCTCACCGAGGCGCGCCTCGCGCGGGGGGTTCTCCATCAGCTTCTTCAGCACCAGGGGGAAGGAGCCGGGCAGGCCCCTCTCCCCAGCGGCGCGCCCCGGGCCCGGGCCCGGCCCCGCCTGCGGCTCCACAGGCGGCTTCTTTCCGCCGCCCGCGTCGGACATCGTGCCCCGCGCTCGGCCCGCGCCTCGCCTCCCCCGCCCGCCCCCCGAGATGGGCCGGAGCCGCGCGACCCGCCGCAGCCGCCGACAGGGCCGCGACTGCGCAGGCGCCCGGCGGCCCCCCCGCCGCTCCCCTCCCGGCCCCGCCCGCGGGCCGGCGCCGCGGCGTTAATTATTCATGAGGCCGGGTCAGCTGTCCCGGACGGCGGCCCGGGATTGGCCCCTCCGGCGAGGGGGCCGGCGCAGCCCCGCGGGCCGGGATTGGCCGGAGCGCGGGGGTACACGAGACACGTGCGGGGCCAGGTGAGCCCGCCGCGCCGGCCCCGCCCGCCCGCCCGCCCGCGTCACCTGATGGGCGCCCGCCGGCATCGGTGTCGCAGGCCCGCGGCGGCGGCGGCGGCCCCTTCCGCTCCACCGGCGCTTTCACCTTCGCCGGCCTCCTCATGGCCCCGCCCTCCTCGCAGACCCCCGCGGCCGCGCGCCTGGCCCCTTCCCGACGCGCCGCGGGGGGCGGGGCTGGCGCGCGGCGGCGGCGGCGGAGGGCGGAGCCTATCAGCGCGCTCGGGCTGTGCGGCCGGCCCCCCGCGGTCACGTGGCGCCGCAGCCGAGCGCAGCCGCGTGGGGCGGGGCCGCGGAGGGAGGCGCGGGAACAGCCAATGGGGGGGCGGGGGCGGGGGCGGGGCCGGGGCGCGCACGAGGCGCAGCACGTGCGGGCCGGCGCCGGGGACGGGAGGGGCGGGCGGGCCTCGCTTCCCGGGGCACTGCCCAGGGCTGGGGACGGGGCCGCCGAGCCGCCCGCGCTCGGAGGTTGGCTGAGGCCGCGGCGGCGCACGGCGACCGGCTCCGCCCCGAGGGCCGGCCTGAGCCGCCGGGAGCCTCGGGCGGGGCTGCCGGGGCGGGCTGGGCGGGGTGCGCGCTCGGCCTTGCGGGGCCGCGGCCGCGGGGTCCTGTCTCCTCGGCCGGAACGGGGGCGGGTGGGCCAGACAGGCCCGAGCCCCGACAGCCCCGGCCGTGGCGCGCCGGCTCCCCAGAAGAACCGCAGCCGGCGCGCGAGGGGAGAGGCGGGAGGACCGGCCCCGCCAGGAGCGCGGCGCTCCCCGGGGCGCCTCCAGGCCCGGGACCCGCGGGGGGGGGCGGGAGATGCTCCCCGAGGCGCCCCCTGACCGCCAGCCGCTCGGCCCGGCCCGGCCCGGCCCGGGAGGGCGAGGCTTGTTGACCCCGCGTCCTGCCCTCGGGGCCGCCCCGGCTGGCGCGGGCCTTCGGAAGGCATCGAGCTAACTGGGGAGGGGGAAGTTGGGCCCCCAAGTGGGGGCCCCGAGCCGGCCTGCGAGGCGAGAGCTTTGAAGAAGCCGAGGGCGGTGGCAGGGCGCGATGGCGTGGCCCCAACCTCAAGTCCTCACACTCGCTAGACCGCAGGCCTCTCGCTAAGCCGGCAAGCCAGTCTGGATTGTTACCGCCGCTTAGGCTTCAAGTTGGGCGAGGTGGATGCCAGCCTGAGCGCCTTTGCCAGAGACCCCATACTGACCTCTTCGGCCACATATTTGGCATCGAGAAGGACAGTAACACTCCATCTTCTGACCTGATGGGAAACGTGACCTGCACCGCCGGGCAGCTTCTTACAAGTCAGATGGAGATGGGACGGGATCTACCCTGTGGGGTGTCTGTGAGCCAGATGCAAAGAGAACGCACAACGCAAACCTGCAACAAATGGTTTCATGATAGTACACAACCCGCCGGCGCACACGCCCAGGTTGGTGTGGCCTATCCTGGAGGCCAGGGTGTAGGTCCCCGGGGCTCCGTGTTCAGCAGAAATGCTCAGTTGTGTGCTGGAGATCTGTGTGCAGGGTTGTTGCTACTGGGAGTTCTACACTTGGTGAAAGTAAAATGCCCTCGGGAGAAACTGACCCTGAGGTTTTAGGAACACATTTCAAGGAAATTGACGTGAAATTTTTGTAGAAAGGCCAGTGTGACAGAGGTCGACTGGCTGGGTGAAAGTAAAAGGTGTATTTTCGTTAACTAGTGTGACATTATTGAAAGGAAAAAACAGTTCTCAAGGTATTAGGAGGATTTATAGTAACTGGAGATTTGGAACTAACTCTTCATGACAAAAGTGGGACAGAGTGAGAGGGAGTAAACACAGATTTTTTTTTTTAAAGCTCTCTAAGTTACCTACTATATCTGTATAGATCACACCTTTCCACTCATCACCCAGCCTAGGGAAACTCACCTATCGGCCTTGGCTAGTGGCAGGCAGGCTAGGGCTTCAAAACCGAGCTTTGATTCAGCTCTCTGTGCTTGTACTGGCGCGCCCCAGAGGGTTTTCCCCCTGGATAACCACGGGGTAAACGGTATGTCACAGGCACCAGGAACATTGCGAACATGTTCTCTCTCGTGCTGACTTGCAAGCTGGGGGAGATTAAAGAGGGGCCTGCAGGCGGCATTGGACAGCTCTGCCTGACAGCCCAGCCCAGAGGCGGGGCCAGTACTTTCTCTGCACCCACCAGCTGACCCACAGGAGCCAAAGCACCTCTCTCTATTTCCAGCCTTATCAGTCAAGTGGAAATAACAGCACAGCCTTGCCCCTTCTCTAAGTGGGAGAATAAATATTGTGAGAAATAATTAGTTAATTTCCATGGTGTTTGTGAGTCCCACAAAGAAATAAACTCCATGCAAAGAACATGCTATTATGTGGTTAAGACTATAAAGGTATGAAGTGGGACCTCAGTGTTCTTGAGTAACAGCTTTTCAATGCAGTGACTGCGAGGGAAGCATGGTCCTGGGGGGCAGCAGTGACTTTGTGGGCTTGGGAGGCAGGCTTGGGTGGGGTCTCCCTTCAGCAACTGACCAGCCCCCTGGCCTTGGGGAAGTGACTTCTGCGTAACCGTCAGTTCTTTTTCTGGCATGCTTACCTCAGAGTGGGTAGGGGCTTCTGGGTGAGAGAGCATGCAATGGAGTAGGTGGGCCTCCCCCCTGCCCCTTCTATTCAGGGGGCTGTGTGTCAGGAGTAGAATTACTTTGGGTGTGGGGGTGAGGCTGTGGGTTGAGGCTGGGTTCTAGCACCTACGCTACAGCAGAGACAAGGATGAGGAATGTCCATTGTCAGGGCCTCCCTGGTGGCGCAAGGGTTTAAGCACCTCACTATGAAGCAGTCCACAGCCTCTGCAGCACGAGTTCGATACCCGGCCAGCCAGGGAGCAACCCACATGGCGCAGCAGACCTCTCCTGTCTCCCTGCTGCTCCCCTCAGCAGTGCATTTCAGTCAATCTGCCTGTTCTGCTCCCTGCTCTGTCTCTGGTGAATCCTCTCACCCCCGCCTCCCCCGCCACACACACATATGGCCTGTACTCCAGCCTTGTATGCATAAATAAATAAATCTTTTTTAAAAAATGTCCATTTTCCAGAGCTGGACAGCCTTTAAGCCCTACTCTGTAGTATCCCAGAAACCTGCTAATCAACCCAAGTTAGAACCTTGAACTTAATCAACTGAGTATCTGTAGAACAAACGACTTCCCATCATTCTAGCAGTTTAGATTATTATTCTTTAAGCCTGAAGTCCAGAGGAGCTAAAATGCCAGCCTGGGCGCCTCTGGCCGCGGTCATCTCTGGGCCCACGGCCGGCATGGACAGTACCACTGTCTTCTGACCTACCGAACACTGTGGCCTGAGCCAGGTGTGAAGTGCGAGACCGACGACAAGGCTTCCATTGAGCACCAACAAAGCCCAGTTATCTGTGTTCTTTGCCAGCACCAGATGCGGGAGAGCGCAGGCTTTGTTCCTAGTAGGAACTCAGTCAATATTTGCTGGCTTGCTTTGCCGGTGGTGCTGGTGGGAGGTTAACAAAACCTTGCAGCGCCAAGCTGTATACATTTGGAACGTTATCACATTAAATAACAGTCACTGTGTTGGATTCACAGCGGAACCTGGCATAACACAGGTGAGCCATCCCTGCAGCCAGTGCCCCGGCACTCGCCCTGCCAGCCTCTGCCTCCTCTCGGCCCACATGCTTGTGGCTGCATAGTTCTGGGCTGTGGTTTGTACCTTGGTCTCAGTGTGTTCTGGGGGAGAAGTGGTGGGTGGAGGCTCTTTGCTAGCTCTTGCCCAACTCTTTCATACTCTCAGGAGTTCTCGTTTCCTGTTTGGCTCGCATTTTGTCCGCTCCCAGGGTTCAGATTACAGATGGAGAGCTGCCCCAGAGTGCCACTTCCAGAGAGAAGCCCTCGCCTCCAGCCTCTGCCACGTCTCAACACCCACTGCCAGGTAGTCATGCTTTCTTCAGTGGAGGCCATGTTGGTGGTGCAATGTGGAGTGTAGGGGCTGCTTTCTCCTTCCTGACTGTGCTTCCTAACTGTGTGACCTTGGGCAAGTTACTTAACCTCTCTGAGCCTGCGTGTCAGAGTAAGGGGGTCAATCCAGGCATGCTGTGGGCATAGCACTTGGACATAGCAGGTGCTCCATTGAAGTTGAGTCTTACTATAATTCCATCTTGGGTGGTTCTGGGATTGCCTTTGCTCCCCACCTGCCCCTCTCCCGAGAAGATGTGGGTGGATGGGGATGGCAGGCAGGGAGGGGACAGCCTCTCTTCGTGGCCTTCAAGACTCTCCCCCTTGCCGTTCTTCCCAGCGTCTCCCTTGCTCACCTTCGGCAGCTTCTGCGGCCTTTTATGCCTCAGACTCATGTTTTTCTTGCCCAGGAAAGGGTAGTCCCTGTGGTGTTCCCTCAACCTGAAAACTCAGGGGCTGCTGGCTCTTCCTCACCCTCCAGTTCTCAGCTCGAATGTCATCCCCTCTGAGTGACATTTGCCCAAGGATACTTTCCTCTAGCAGCCGAACCTGGGCCAGGCCTGGTAAGATGCCACCCAGAAATGGACTCCCGGCCCCTCCCGACCCCTCCTGTCTCTGAGAACGACAGTCCCACATTTCTCTGGTGGGTGAGGGGCAATGGGCTAAGCGCAGTCCCCACCCAGGGTGGAGGTGCCAAGGGAGCCGGCCCACACACTGGCCTTTTGGAAGGTGGAGCGAGGAATCAATGAGCAGGCCGGCCCCTCTTTTTCCTCCCTGAAAGCCAACCTGACTCCTTCTCAGTTTTGCCCTGTTCCCGGAGGCTGGGAGTGCAGGCCACCGTGAGGCCTTTGCTGACGCCCAGCTCAGGACAACCAAGCCGAACTGAGCCTACGTCCCTCCTGTTTTCCTGGATCCTCTAAGGAGGGTTCCCAGACCCCGCCTGCCTCTGTCCCCCCAGGTTCCCCTGAGCTGGGCCTGCCTCATGTGGCCCCTTCTGCAGGGGGCCCAGTGGGGCAGGGCAGAGCGCGCCAGGCACCCAGAGCCTCGGCGTGTGTTTCCCGGGAGACTGCAGCCTGGGTGCGCTCACGGAGCCTGCGACATCCAGTTCCTCCAAGGAGGACATCCAGGAAGGAGGAGGAAAGCAGGGCGGAGGTTCAGGTTGCAAGTGTGATGTCAGTGGAAGGGGCGCAAGGCCAGGGCAGTTGCTGTTTGCCTTCCCCAGGAAGACATGGCACCTCACTCTTTGCAAATGTTTGCACACGGATCTCTCATTGGATCCTGGCAACAAACGCGGGAGCAGGTATTCGTCCTGCCGCCCCCAGCCTGGGCAGGGGGAGAGGGATTGACTGAGGCAGGCCAGGCCCGGGACCCTGCTGGGGGTCCCAGAGGTGATTCTGGTTAGGAGCCCTAAGGCGGGCCCTGCCTGCCAACTCAAAGTGAAGGCCTCGTTCACCCTCCGGGTGTGTTTTCATGCTACGTGGCTTCTTGAAAAGGAGGCTGGAGGGACCAAGGCTGGCAGAAAGATGGGTGAGGACAGGGTAGGCGTGAAGAGCTAACGGAATGGTGTAGAAGCTGGAGCAGAAAAGGAGCTGTCTGGAACAGAAGCCCCTGTGGGAACACCGCCCTCGGGGGCAGGGGCAAGCGCGGGAGCAGGAGGGTCAGTCTGTAGGGCTTAGGGCCCAGCTCTGCCCACAGGAAAGTCAGCCACACTGGCGTCCCGAGGGAGGGGCCACGAGGTGGCCACTGTAACCCGCGGCCAAGGGAGCCTGGACCCTGGTCGTCTCTGCTCGAGAAAGTCGGCTCAGCCATGGATGGGATGGGAAAGAGGTGGCGGGAGGAGAGGGTTGCCCGGGTCAGCGAGAGGGAGCAGGAGTCAAGGTCAGGGAGGTCGCAGAACCAGACAGTGGCGTGAGGGGCGGCCGGGAGCGCACACCTGGCTTTCTCACATGGGCCCGCTGTCCTCTGAGCTTCCTTCGCCCTGAACCCAAGACCTGCTCTGCAGTGACCTGCAGGGAACGGAAGCTCAGCCTTGAGGGCAGGAGGCAGAGAGCGCAGGGAGCCTGCAAACCAGTCCCCCCCCCCCCCCCCGGACAAACTGGCCCTTTCAGAGGACAGGAGTCTGGAGGGCAGGAAGCAGGACGATTTCCTGGGGCGACTGGCACCTCTGGGCCACCCTGCCCCCTGTGGCCCAGTCTGAAGCCAGAATGGTGGGGTCTCTAGAACCAGGGAGAGCAGCGGCTTCATTAAGAACTTTTAAAGTACTTTTGACAGGACTGCTAGGAGCTCTAGTTCCTGTGGCGTGCGTGGCCTCTCGTTACCAAGATGTGTTGCGTTTCTGGTAGAGACTTTTATTTTCAGAAATGACTTGGAGCATCTAGGAGCTTTGGCAAGTGGCGCCCGTGAGTTGGGGGCAGTAAAATGAGTGAAGTCTTTGTGGGGAGCACTGACCCCTTTGACTTCAGGCCTGGTTTCCTCATTTTTTCTACCCTGTTGACATCTGTCATTCCTGCTGGGCCCCAAAGTGGGTGGCCCTGGGGAACCGACCCCCAAAGCTAGCCAGGACCTTGGGTTTCTCAGGCAAGACTTGGGAGACACCTGGTGCTGCCCTGGTCCATGCCCTCCTCCGCGGGCTCCCTCGCCTGCCCGCCCTCCGTGTTTGCCTGTGGTTTCCTAGGAACTGCAGCTGCGAGCCTGTGGTCCTGTTACATAACAGCCTCCATCCCATCCTCGGGCTCAATTCTCCAGCGAGCGGGAGCCGAAGCGAGTGCATTCAGGGAAGCCTGTTCTCCAGACAAGGGAGGCTGCCCATCTGCAGTCCTCGCCATCCTCTGCACCCCGGCGCACAGAGCGAGGGAGCGTAATAAGTGATCTGCAGCCAGTGCGTCCTCCCAGCACAGCTCTCAGCCCGAACTGTCCCACGTGAGTGCAGCACCTGTCAGCGGCCCCACATTGGCCATGACTTCCCCAAACCGGCAGGCCTAGGGGGCAGTCCCTGAGTTGCAATGCCTGACCCCCACACCCCCACCACTCCCAGCTCCCTCTCTGTACCCCAGTCTTTCCTCCTGCCCAGGAAGGAGCCCAGGGCAGACCCCTGCTGGGGACCCTCCTGAGCTTCAAGATACCCGTCCTCCCACTGTGCCAGTGACTACTGCCACCCCCCTTGGGCACCCGGGCAGCCAGCCAAGGCAGGCCACCTCCACTCCTACCTGTCCTCTTCTCTGGCCAAGGCAGAGAATGCTCCAGCAGAGACTTGAGAACCTCGGGCATGTCCATGGCAGGGGCTGCTCCGATCCGGTCGCAGCTTGACATGGCCCGGCAGGAGGTGCTTGCAAGGGGAGTTTAGAAGCAGCTGGAGCGGCAGGAGCTGGCCTGGGAGCCGCAGGCGCTGGAGGCGGGCGGGGCGGGAGCCCGAGGCAGCCAATGGGCAGCACGGGCCCTGGCCCGCCCGTCCACCCCCAGCTCGGCCACCTGCCAGCTCCGGCTGCAGCCAGGCCTTCCCTTCCCGCTGCCTGGCAGGGCGGGCCTGGCCCCGTGCCATTCACAGCACGTGGAGCCACCGCGCCAATCCTCTGACAGGGAGCCTGGCCTGTTATCTAACTTTGCAAAGGAAGTTCTCCCCCAGGCAGGGAGCCGTAACCAGGGGCTGCCAGGTGAGAAGGCGAGCTGGCTCCACACCCACAGGAGTGAGCATCGCGTGCCCGGCACACTGCGGGGAGGCCTGGAGCCCTGGGCGGGGTGGGGGAGTGGAGGGGAGAAGGGGTAGGGGGAGAGGAGGGCGCAAGCAGCCTGGGCTGGGCCCCCTGCCCCCAGCACCCTGGGCGGCTGGCACAGCATCAGCGCGGGCCGCTGTCTACATGCTCTGCACACGTGCCCTGCCAGGTCCGGAGACCACGTGATGGCAGCGGGGCTGTGCCCATCTGCAGAGCCTGAGCCTGCTCTCCTAAGGGAAGTGACAAAACCTGCAGCCTGGGCTGCTTTTGATGCTCAGGGGAGGGAGAGGAGCAGGTGCCAGCAGACAAGCTGGGAGGATGAGCACCCTGCAGGGGGCGAGCGGGGGTGGGGGGTGGGGGAGGGGCGGCTCTGCAAACAGACTGGCTCCTCCAGGGGAATATCATGCTTCCCACCTATCTGCCACCCCCACTCCCACCACCACGGACCCACTCACCTGGAACCTGGCCCTGGTGCCCTTAGGCCACTAGAACGTAAGGTTGAAGCCAAGGCTCTCTGTCGCCACCCACCCAAGACCAACACTGGCAAAGCCAGCCTGGGCTGGGGCTGTCAGACTCAGTTCAGCCACATGCTGGCGTGGGGTCTTGGACAAGTCATGCAACTTTTCGGGGCTCAGGTCCAAAAGCAGAGTGGAGATACCTCTCAGCTGGCGCCAGCCTGGACTCCACCCGCCTGGCTCCCTGCAGTGGGGCGGGTTCTGCGCAGCCTCCCTCCACGGCTGGAAACTCCGTTTTCCCTTCCCAACCGCCCCAGCTTGTCTTCCAGTTCCCTTCTTTTCCTCACTAATGACCATCCCCAATTTTTTTTTCTTTTCCTCAATGAGTTAAAAATTAGGGCCTCCGGGCTTCCCCGGTGGCGCAGCGGTTGAGCGCTGGGTTGCGAAGCTGCCCGCGGCCTCTGCCGCGCCGGTTCGATCCCCGGCTGCTCCCCGGCCACCGGAGGAGGGTCCCGCATGGCGCGCAGACCTCTCCTGCCGCCCGCTGCTCCCCTCAGCAGTGTACTTCGGTCCTTCTGCCTGTTCTGCTCCCTGCTCTGGCTCTGGTGAATTCTCTCACCCTCCCTCGCTTCTGACTGTACCCAGTGCATGTATAAACAAGCAAACAAACAAACAAACAAACAAATAAATAAATAAATAAATAAATAAATAAAACATGCCTCTATTTAAAAAAAAAAAAAAATTAGGGCCTCCCCTGGTGGCGCAGGTGGTTGAGCACCGCACTGTGAAGCTGTCCACAGCCTGTGCAGCGATGGTTCAATCTGGCCGGCTGGTGAGGGTCCCACATGGCGGGGCAGACCTCTCCTGTCTTGCCCACTGCTCCCCTCAGCAGTGTATTTCAGTCAGTCTGCCTGTTCTGTTCCCCGCCCTGTCTCTGGTGAATCCTCTCACCCTCCCACGCATCTGGCCTGTACCCCGGTTCTTGTATAAAATAAATAAATCTTTAAAAAATTAATTCCAAGTTTTTGAATATAAAAACAGCACATGGCTCAAAGCTTGAAAACTTTGATATGTTTTGCAATTTATTTACTTATTTTTGAATAAAAGCACACTTTAGGAATGTTATTTCTGCTCCTGTCCCTTCTTTCCACCTCCTTCCTCATAACAAATTTGGATTCTCACTTATCCTTCCAGCATGTTCTGACTCTGAGGCCCTGGGGTGCCTCAAGTTGTCCTGTGATTTGCAGGCCAGGGCTGCCTTGGGTCAGGCTGGTGACTTAGCCATTTTGGGCCCAGAACCCTCTCTTGTGCAAGACCAGCAGAGCACAAATGCAGCTCAGAGCAGGATTTCAGAGGCAACAGGAAGTCCCTGACATGTCTGGAAGATTACCACCTGCAAGTGACAGTCCCTTCTAGGAGATTCTTTCCCGTCAGCTTTCCACGGAGACCTTTTGACAATGCACTCAACCTCTGAGGCCACAAGTGAGTGCTTGCTGCATGCCTGGCACTAGAGTCGAAACCACACCAGCCAGGCAGCTCCCTACTCCTAGGGAAGTTTCATGCACGGGAGAAAGTCAGCCCACGTGGCACTCTGCTCTGCACCCGTGGTGTCCAGGAGGCAGCACCTCCAGTCACATGGGTCACAGCAGCAGGTTGCTGTGCAGAGCAGCTGGGGAAGGCACTACATACATACGTGCAGGCATTTGGAAGGGCTGCAGGCAGGCATCAGCTGCACTTCTTGGGTTTCCTGGCTGGAAGGCCTGATGCCAACGATGGGAGTCCTTATCGATGCAGAGGCCACTGAATGCACCCCAACTCCAGCCCTACCTCTGAGGATGGCATTTGCCCCTAATTCACCAGGAATAAGGCGTCCTTTATGTGGCCCACATGGCGCAGCAGACCTTTCCTGACTCGCCTGCTGCTCCCCTCAGCAGTATATTTCAGTGGATCCTCCTGTTCAGCTCCCCACTCTGTCTCTGGTGAATCCTCTCATCCCCTGCACCTCTGGCCTACACCCCAGTTCTTGTATGCATAAATGAATAAAATAAATCTTAAAAAAATAATCTAGGTTTTACTGGGTCCGTGGATACACATACATGAGAAAAAGATGTGAGAGAAAGACACACAACGGTGAGCACACAATGATGATGACACAAAAATCTTCATAAGCCTCAAATCCAGTTTTACCTCCTCCAGGAAGCTCTCCTGGCTCCCCATGCCTGGCCTGTACCTGGATGTCCCACCACAGGGCGGGCCACCTTACCCCACAGTCTTCCATGGAGGTCTGGCTCCCCCAAGCCTGTGACTCAAGTTTCTATTTTTTTTTTTAAAGATTTATTTATTTATACAAGAACCGGAGTACAGGCCAGATGAACAGGAGGGTGAGAGGCTTCACCACGAGAGAGAGCGGGGAGCAGAACAGGCAGACTGATGAAATACACTGCTGAGGGGAGCAGCAGGCGAGACAGGAGAGGTCTGCTGTGCCATGTGAGACCCTTGATGGCTGGCATTGAACTGGCGCTGCAGAGAGTCTGCGGGCAGCTTCACAGCGCGGCGCTCAACCGCCTGCGCCACCAGGGGAGGCCGTGACTCAGGTTTCTGCAGCCATCTTGTATCCCTGGGACTGAGAGGGGGCCGGTGCTAGGTGAACGCTTAGCAAGCTGAGAGTATAAAAATGTAGTCTGCTCACTGCATCCAAGTCCTGCTTATCTTGATTTTCTGAGTTCAAGGGAGGTCTCGATGCACAACCATATCACTCCAACACGAGTGTCTGCATCTTTCTTTCAGGAGCAGTACCCTACCTCGCTTAGGATTTTCGCAGTGCAGCCAGGGGTGCTGAAAACCCCAGAATGTCAGAGCTAGAAGACCTTTGCAATCACCCGGTTCCCCGTGGATCTCCACCTCTTATTCTGCTTCCTGTCTGAGGGTCCCTGGAAGCTTCACTGAAACTTTCTGGGCTCCAAGATGTGGACCCAAGCCTTCAGGGTTGTCACCGAGAGCAGACAGCTCCACCCACAGTGAGAGAAGGCACTCAAGCACGCAGAAGGCACTCAAGCCCCTTGGCTGCTGCTTTTACTCATCTTGCCCTTTATCAGACATCTAGCCCATCTGCAGACCTGACCCAAATGCTTGCCTGTCCTCAGGGAAGTCACAGGTCTCAGACCCCTGTTCCTGGGGTCATGCCAGAGGCAGTTTAAAGCTGTCTGGTATGAGCTTGCTCTTCCTCTCCCGCCAGGAGCCTCCATCACCTGCACCCACTTCCAACCCAAGAGGTTTGAAGAAGCACCTCCCAGCCAGCAGTGCAGGTGCCCCACTGGGAATTCAGCTAATGTACGCTCTCCTTTTAAAGATGAGGAGCTGGGCCCACGTGACTCCAGTCTCCCTGGGGCCCTGCGGGAGTCCCATTGCATTGGGATCATATTGCAAAGCCTAGGGTGGCCCCTAGGCCTCCTGGAAAATCTACACCCAGAACAGACACAGGGTGAGGAACCCAAGGTGGTGCCCACAGGTGAAGGCAGTGTGGGTGCTGCCAGGCACCCCCTGGAGGGCCGAGGGCAGGCCGGTTGCAGACCAGCCAGCTCGGGGCGGCCGCTGGGGTCACGTGAGCAGAGCACAGCTTGTCTCAGCCAGCAAGGCACTGCCTAAGCTGGGGTCAGTTGGCCGCCCTGTTTACACAGGGACACAGTCCTCTGCCCCTCACCCTCTCAGAATGTCTGTCTCCAGGCCTGCCAGCTCTGTCCTGCAAGCTTGCAGCCGCCGGCCCGGCAGGGAGGAACAGGAGCGACACCTTGGGGACCGAGGTCAAAGTGCACGTTTATTTTCTAGAACAAAGGCTAAAAGAAGCAAGTTTCTTTCATTTTATTTTAAGAAGGACAAAAGTTGTTATTAAAACATCTACATTATTATCAAGATACTAGACCTTATGAATATTTAATATTAAAGTGTGGTATTCTTAAATTTTTAATACACAGACATTTTAAAAGGACCATTAAATTGATTACTGCCCAGCAAGAAATGCAGCATCCCTCTGCGCCCCACCCCCCGAAAGACACGCCAGGGCACACGCCCCCCCTCACCATGTTCACCGGCCTGACCTGGCGGGGGACACAGGCCTAGCTCTTCTCTGAGCCTCCCAGGCAGGGTCACCTCTGGAATAATCCCCCTCCTCAGTCAGTGCATTCCTGTCCCCCTACTCCCACTCTGCCTCCCTCCCGCTTCCCAGTCCTGTGGGGGACGCAGCTCTGGCCAGGCCAGGGAGCCCCAGATCCCAAGGGCCCCTGCCAGGAACACACGGAAGACAAACCTGAGCTTTAATCCTGTTCTTTTAGGTGGGACACAGACGCCAATCACGTTCTGTCCCCACTCGACTGGGTGGTCAGCAGGGACCTGGCAGAGCTGGGCCCGGGCGGGGGCTGCTTCTGAACCCGCTGCCCAAATCACCCCTGCCTCATGGCTCCAGCCCCCACATCCTCCAAATGGCCTGACGGCCCCTCAGTCCCTCCTCATTACCCAGGATGGCTGCATTTTCTGGCTAAATTCTTTATCTTTAAGCCCTCATTAGAAGTGATTCCTTGGATACCACACACATATATAATATTATATAGAGCGATATATTTAATACCTGTGTATATATGCATCACGGGGGCGACATATATACACACTAGAAACGAGGCTGGTGACGACGGACTGCAACAGCACGGGGCAGGGAGAACGGGTGTCATCGACGGTCACGGCCACGGCCCCCACCGCGGGGTGATCCCCTCCCCTCCGGCCTCACCACCAGCACCAACTCTGCCGCGGGCGAGAGGCAAGGAAGGGCAGGATGCGCGCCGCGGTCGTCAGGGGCAGGTGGGGCAGCGGCGGCCAGAGGAGCGGGGCTCTCCGCGGCCGGGGCCGCCATCACGCCATCGCCACCTTGCTTGGGGGGAAATAAGGGGGGTTCCATTCTCTCCATCTCACCCTGCACCCCAGCCTTGCTCCTCAGTTCCTCCGGGGGAACCCCACTCCTTGTGCCAATGGTGTGGGGCATTCTGGAATGTCTAGGGAGCCGGGGAGGCTGGGTCTGCCCTGGGGGGTGGGGTGGAGAGGAGGGGGATGAAGACACCCCAGGAGAGGGATGACGGTGTGGGGGGCAGGGCGGGGCTGGGGGTCAGCTGGGGTCCCAGGCAGCTGGCAGGGCCGGGGATGGTGGGGGGGCAGGGAAAGATGGTCTCCACTTTATGCCCAGGAAAGAGGGGGCAGAGGACTGCACCGGGTCCCCAAGAAAGAGAGGCCCACGCTGCCTGGGGTCAAGTCTCTTCTCTCCGCCTCCCCCCACTTTTCCCTCCCCCCCAGCACCTCATGCACAACCCAAGCTCCCAGGGACGCTGCCCTCTCCCCTCTCCCCTGTGACCCTCCCCATCCTCAGGAGACTCCCCTGAGCCTCCCTTCCCAGCCCCGGGGGCAGCGCTGCCCGAGACCCCAGCTCGCGGGGATGTGGAGGCTGCGGCATCCGGCCTCGCGTCTGGAGGCTCTAGGGAGACCCGGTCCTGAGTCTTTCGCCCACAGGGTGTGTCCCGGCTCGACTCGCGCCGTGGACGGAGGCCCCGGAGATCACCCTCCCTTCCAGGCTGCTTCTCCATCCTCAGAGAGGGCCCCGGGCTGGGTCATCTCTGGAGACTCCGAGGAGCCACACTCTGCATCGGAGGCTCGCAGCGAGAGGGCTGGGCTCCCTAGAGAGCCAAGCCCCTCAGCAAGGCCTGGGGTTGTCCAACCCAGGCCCCCCGACTCTTGCAGCCAGAGGGGAAACACGGGGGCCCCGCAGGGTACAATGTCCCCAAGCTCCATCCTGGGGCTGCATTTTAAAGCTAATGGGGGCCTCCTGCCCTCTCTGGTGCCCTGATCTGCCCCAGGGAGGTGTGGGTGGGGTGAGGAAGGGACAGGGAGAAGGACCCTCCTGCTGCAGATTCAAGTGGGGACCCCAGGCTCCCCAGCCCTGAGCTTTGGGCCCCCTTTAGGGGCAGACTGAAGTTAAAGCTGTAGGCTGAAGCCGGAGGGGTCACTCAGACCCCTCCCTCTCCAACCAGGACAGTGGGGGTAGCGGGGGGGTTGGGCGGGGAGGGTCTGCCCAGGGTTTCAGCAGGATGAGGGCCCTGGGACCGCTTGTGGCTGCAGCCTGTGCACCTGGTTATGCACACGGAGGTGGTGGGGACAGAGCAGATACAGGGGGCCCGGGGCGGCCTGATGGGGTGGCACCCCCACCCCGCCCTGGCCCTTCTATCAGGTCCTCCCCATCCCCGACCCTGACCCTAGGACTTCTCCCACGGCCAACGACCGGCCCTATTCCCCGGTGACAGTGGCAGCCGCAGGGGCTTCTGGGGCGGCACCCGCCGTGCTCCCGTCCTCTTGCAGCAGGAAGTTGTATTTGCCGAAGTCGTCGTCCCGCGGGCACAGGAGCATGTCCTTCCGGGCCTTGGCCAGCTTCTGCTTCAGCACCTCGCGCCGGTCCAGCCACTCGTTGAGTTCCTCCTGCCCATGCGCGCAGCGGCACTTGTCCCCCTCTGGGCAGGCCTTGCCCTTCTGGAGCCTGTGGACGGCAGGAGACTCACTGCCCAGCCCTGGAGCCCCAGCACAGGCACCACCTTCCCCAGACGGCCCCAGTCCTGATGAAGCCCGGCGGGCGCCACTGCTCCGGGGCCTCCCGGCCTGCAGAGGGGTCTGGGCGGGTCTGACACTGCTCCCATCCTGCCTGCTCCCGGCACCACCCCGCACCCATGTCCAGGCCCAGAGGAGGGAGTGCAGGGAGTCTGCGCCCCCGCAGCACCTGTCGCACAGCCGGAACTCCCCCATGGGGAAGCGGTAGGCCCAGCCGCTGGCGTCGCTGTCCGACGTGAAGACCTTCTCCTTGTGCTTCTCGGACTGGATGTGCTGCTGCCACTGCTTCTTGCTGTTGCTGTTCTTGCCGCAGAGCCAGCAGTGGTAGCCCATCTGGGGGCACAGCCACCATGGGTGCCTGCTCTCCACCCGGGGGCTGGCCGCCTGCCCCCCACTGCCCCCCACTCAGGCTCAGTGTGGGGCCCCCAGCCGGCGAGGCCGGGCGGTAGTCACCATGATGTCGGCGTAGTCCGTGGGCATCTGAATCTGCTTCTCCCCCTCCCGGGAGCTGATGGGCGTCCCTTCCCCGGGCTTCCCTGGGTTGTGCTTCTTCAGCCACATGTCGTAGGTCTGCTGCATGTCCAGGACTGGCAGGAAGGGGGCAGAGTGCCTGGTGAGGGGGCTGCTCCACCCACCTGCCCACGAGCCCCGCTGGACTTGAGAGCCGGGGCGCCTCATTGCCCGGAGGGTGGGACGAGGGGGCGAGAAGGGCCCGGGAGGCAAAGGGAGCCGGGGGGTGCATTTGGGCCTGCTGATGAACTGGGGTGTCCGGCCATGAGGGGACAGCCGGCGAGGCCCCTGCCCGGTCTGCGCGCTCACTCTTGTTCTCCTTCATGAAGGTCCACATGTCCCGCTCCTCGGGGCTGTGTGCGAAGGAGCAGTTCCCCACGTACTGGCACTTGCGGCCGTTCTGCGCGTGGATGCAGAGCTGTGGGCGGGCGGGGAGAGCCTGCTGAGTCCACTGGGCGGCCACTGCCCGGACCTCCCCGGCTCCCGCTTCTGGGCTCCCGCTGCTGCCCGCCCACCCTACGGCGCTCACGTCATATTGCTGTGGAAAGTTGCGAATGGATGGCAGCGGCCTCACCGACACCCACTTCCTCTTGGCCTTGGACATCACCAGGAGGACCCGCCGCTCCTTGGTCCAGCTGCAGGACAGAGCAAGGGGCTACTGGGCGCACTCAGAGCAGAGCCACAGGCAGTGCGGCCTCCTTGCCCGAGGTCTGGGGTGGCCCGTGCTGCCTGCGCCCCGCCTGTGCCCACTCACCAGTGTCGGGCCTTAGCACTGCAGTACTTGAGATCTTTGTCAGGCTCCACCACCTGCCCGTTCCTCCAGCACTGGCCGCACACGAACTTCATCTGCAGGTCAAAGGTGCTCGGTCCGTGCGTCCGTGGGGCGCCCTGTGGTGCACGGGGAGAGGGGCCAGCAGGGCACAGCTCACCCTGGGGCTGTCACACAGCGGCTTCCAGGAACACTAGGGCCATCCATCACCACCTTGGCAGGAAGGACCCCCAACTCCAGGTGGGAGCCACCTGGGACTCCAGATGGGGTGCTCCCCGCTGTACCTGGCTCCCCGCTCCCTGGTCCCCAGGGTCTTTTCTTCACTGACCACTACACCACGCTGCAGAGTGCTCTGCCCTCGTGGCCTCCGCTTCCTCTCATCTTATTTCCTCCTCCTCCTCCATTCCAGGTCACCTCGGTGCCACCCCACCACAGCACTTGGGCACAGCAGAGACCCCCACGCCCCTGTCTGCGCCTGCTGTCCCCTCTGCCTGGAATTTGCTCCTCCATTCTTCATCCAGCTCGTTCTAGCACTAGAAACTTTCAACGCTCGGTTCAAGCCCCGCCTTCTTCAGGAAGGCTTCCCAGGAGCGCTCCCAAGATGCAGCTGCCCCGTGTACGTGCTCCCACAGCACTGAACTGCCTGGTGTTGACCAGTTCAGTCAGGTATCGGGCCCAGTAGAGAGCAGGGCCCAATGGTGAAAGCCAGTTGCAGGGTGGGGCAGAGGCGCTGTCCCTGGGGGTGGAACAGACAGCCCAGGACCCGCTGAGGCCCCTCTCATCCCTGCCCTATCCTCTGTCCCAGCCCTTCCTATCCACTCAGGAAAAAGTCCATTTCCGTGTATAACTACGTGTTTGTGTGCGCACACACGCATGCACGAGGGTGGAACGTGGTCAAATGCTACACGTGGGTTCTTATGCTGTTCTCCCAATGTCCTGGTCAGCCTGAGACTATGTCTAAGTGCAAGGATGGGGGTGGCCCTGGTGGGGCCTGGTGGACCCTCAGGGCCAAGCAGGGGCCATACCAAGCTGCTGCTGGCCTTCCCCGCGTGGGCCTCCATCTGCTGCCAGTATTTCTTGGACTCCTGGACGATGTCTTCGTGGGTCATGCCTGGGAAGGGAGGGAGCAGACACGGCGCCCCTGAAGAAGCTCAGCCAGGAGAGAGGCAGGTGCACCCCCAGGCCCAGGCACAGGAGCCCCTCGCCCCAAGGAGGGCCTGCCACAGAAAGGGCTGGGATGCAGGAAACGGTCAGCCTCGACTGGGGTGGAGGCCTGCTGCAAGCCCCACAGGGCCCGAGAGGATAAAACGCAGCCAGGCGTGGAAAAATGCAGGAGGAGGAGGCTGGCCTGCTGGGGGCGCCCCTGCCAGTGACCGGCTCAATGCTCCTCTGTGACTGCCGCCTCCCTTGGGGGGGGGGGTCAAGCCTGACAAGCAGCTTCCTCGTGCTGGCACTTCAGGCTCCGCGACCCACTGAGGGGGTCACAGCTCTTAGTCAGCAAAGGGCAAATGCTTCAGCCTGGTGCCCCCTACCTGACTGGGAAACTGAGTCAACCCCCTGAGCTCTGCACGAAGCCTGCCCTCCCCGGGCCCCCTTCCACAGCTGATTTGCTTTCAACTTCAACATGGATCGGGCCTTCACGCACCCTAGGCACTTACTCTGGCCAGGGACTGTGCTGGACACCCACTGTTGTCCCTGCTTCTTCACTGTGGCTCTCCAGCCCCCACCTCTCTTGTGAACTTCCAGCTCCTCACTCCACACCTCCACTTGAAGATTAAGACAACGCCCACACCCCACACAGCCCGACATGACCCCCAAACCTGTTCTCCCGAGAGCCCCCTTCTCAGAACATGGCAACTCCTTTCTTCTAGTTATGCTGGTTGAACCTTGGAGTTGACCTTGACACAGTCCTGTCTCCCCGTTATATTTGGTCCATCAACAACTGTCACCTCTACCACCACAATGCCCAGTCTGTGACCATTGCTTCCACCTCCTGCGGCCAGAGCAACTTTAAAAAAGTTGATCAGGGGGGCCTCCCTGGTGGCGCAGCGGTTGAGCGCTGGGTTGCGAAGCTGCCCGCAGCCTCTGCAGCGCCGGTTCGATCCCCGGCTGCTCCCGGGCCCCTGGAGGGGGTCCGATCCCTGGCTGCTCCCTAGCCCCTGGAGGAGGGTCCCACATGGCGTGCAGACCTGTCCTGCCGCCCGCTGCTCCCCTCAGCAGTGTACTTTGGTCCTTCTGCCTGCTCTGCTCCCTGTGCTTCTGACTGTACCCAGTGCTTGTATAAATAAATAAATAAACAAATCTTTAAAAAAAAAAAAAAATTGATCAGGGCCTCCCTGATGGCACACGGGGTAAAGATGCAACCTATGAAGCTATCCTAAACCGCTGCAGCGCGAGTTCGATCCCCGGCCAGGGAGGTGACCCACATGGCACAGCAGACCTCTCCTGTCTTGCCCGCTGCTCCCCTCAGCAGTGTACTTCGGTCAGTCTGCCTGTTCTGTTCCCCACTATGTCTCTGGTGAATCTTCTCATCCCCCACACCTCTGGCCTGTACCCCTGTTCTTATACGCATAAATAAATCTTTAAAAAAAATTGATTAGCTCATACAACTCCACTCACGTAAACCCGGAGGGGCCTGCACACCACACCCAGAACCAGCCCCGTGATTTCTGCTCACGGTCGGTTTCCTGCCGACCCCTCAGACCTCCTCTCTGCTCTGTCCCCTGGCACTAAGCTGCCCAGCCCCCATGACAGTCTCCCTGTACCTAGTTTGTTTCTGCCTCAGGCCTCCAGCCTTGCTGTCCCCTCTGGCTGGAACGCTCTTCCTGCCTTCCCTGCACCAAGGCCACCTCTGAGAGGCCTTCCCCAACTCGCCCGCACCAAAAATGTTGTAGGTGCATTCTGGAATAGGGGAACACGGGCAGTAGCATCTGCTGGTTTATCACCCGCCCACCTCACCGACAGCTATCAGCTCTGCGAGCAGGACCTAGCCCAGCACTGGCTCAATCCCCTACACAGCAGGTGCCCAAGGGGTCCTAGTCAGAACCAGTGACAGTGAACAGCTTTTAATCTCCTCACGGTTCACAGAGGAGCGAACGGAGGCTCAGTGCAGGCATGTGACCTGCGACGCCCATCCTAGCCCTCTCCATGCCCGCTCCCGTGGCCGCACCCGGCAGGTTGACCCCTGGCTGGAGGGCAGCGCCCCCGCATCCACGTCCATGGTGAGGCCTTAAGGGACCCGGGGCTCCCGAGCACCCCACACCCCAAGCTTCACCCCGCCCGAGCCTGCCCCTTCGGCGCACACCTGAGTACTGCTGCAGCAGCCAGACTTTGAGCTCGATGAAGCTGTGGGCGAAGTGGCAGCTGTCCTCCCGCAGGCAGCCATAGCGGACCTCGTGGCGGCACACGTCGAACTGGAAGTGTTCCTGGAACTGGCGGATCTTGGAGTACTTGAGGGAGGTGGAGCGGACGATGTGCACCAGGCACCTGCGGGCAGGCACAACGCAGTCTGAACCCCCATGCCCCAGCCCCCTACACTCCAGGTCCAGCTGCTCTCCCCGGGACGGGGGTGGCCCAGCGTAAAGGTGGGGGGCTTCTCCCTGGCACCTCCCAAGGACTGCACGGGAGGTAAGAAATGGCGGCTCTGGGTTTGGGCCCCTGTGTGTCCCTCTCCTGGGCCAGGAATTTGAATTACTCCCATAGCAATTACTCCCGCGGCTGGGGTCAGCCGCGGCCTATGGCTGAGGAAATAAGGGTCAGAGAGACCAGAAGAAAGGAGAGAGGACCCGGGCCTCCCCTGGTGGCGCAGAGGTTGAGCGCTGGGTTGCGATGCTGCCCGCAGCCTCTGCGGCGCCGGTTCGATCCCCGGCTGCTCCCAGGCCACTGGAGGAGGGTCCCACATGGCGCGCGGACCTCTCCTGCCGCCCGCTGCTCCCCTCAGCAGTGTAATTCGGTCCTTCTGCCTGCTCTGCTCCCCGCTCTGGCTCTGGTGATTTATCTCACCCTCCTGCGCTTCTGACTGTACCCAATGCTTGTATAAATTAATAAATAAATAAAATAAAAATAAATAAATCTTTAAAAAAAAAAAAAAAAAAGGAGAGAGGACCCAGGTCTGTGGACTCCGAGGCCTGCCCACTATCAGCCACGTGGGGGCAGAGCGAAGGGCAGGAGAGAGAGGGGAGGTGGGGCCCACCTGCGGAGCCCCTTCCACTTGCTGTCCAGAGACAGGGCGCAGGACAGGGGTCAGAATTCTGGCGCCCGGCTGTGTAAGCTACTTCCCAGTCTCTGCATCACAGACATTCGCTGGCTCCCCACAGGACCGGTCCCGTCATTACAGTGCCCACGGGGGTACTTGGGGTAGAGGAGATGCTCACTAAGTGCGGCTCTGCCCTTTCCAGGTGGAGCTGGATCTGAGTCTGCCCCCTGCCTTGACACCCTAGGTCCCCCTGTGGTCTCCTCTGTCCCAGCCCTCTGAGCTGCCGGGGGCTCTCCAGCCAGGAAGCCCCTTTGGCCCGGGCTGCCGGCCCACTCACTTGTTGTTGTAGAAGCTGTGCTTGGCAGCCAGGTTGGAGCAGACTGACGGCGAGTCCTTGGTGCCTTTGCTGATGATCCGGGGCTTACTGTCAAAGCAGATCTGCCGGGGAAGGGGTGGGCTGAGACCCGGCGTGGAGCAGCCGGACCAGGGGAGGGACACCTGGGTCCCTGCAAGGCTGCCCTGGTCTGTGGCCTCACCTCTCTGGCTCTAGCTCAAGTTCATGGGTAACTGGGCCTCGGCTCTTCCTCTCCCTCCCCACTCTCTGTCCCCACCAATCCAAACGCCTGGAGCAGGGGTTGGTTCTCAGCTGTAAACCTGGCTTAGTCACAGCCACTCGGCCCCCGCAGGCTCGCCCAGCTGGGAGCCCGCTGCTCGGGCTGGCCAGGAGATGGGGAGGGGTTGAGCGAGAAGCACCAGGCCTGCCAGCATCGGGGACCCAGGCTCTGGCTCCATGGAGAGGCCCTCCACGCGCCATCACTGGTGGGGAGGCAGGGAGTCCATGGGGTCTCCTGTGACGGGGCAGGGGATGAACCACTGGTGGAACTACTAGGTCTGGGCTGAGCCTCAGAGGGTCAGAGATGCAACAGCACGGGCAGCACTCCGGGGAAAAGGCTCAGCCTGGAAAAAACCCCGGGGCGGGGTGTGCGCTGGGCACTGGGGCCGGCACAGCTGCATGAGGAGGTGTGGGCAGGGCTGGGGCAGCCGCAGGGAGGAGCAAGTGTGATTAGTTCTCTTCTGGCCTCAGTTTCCACCTCTCTGAAACGAGGGGCTCGAAGGGGTCTAGTTCCAGTGTGACAGGACCTAAGGGCCTAATGTTCTGAAAGTCCAGGAGCCCAGGATGCTGGTCAGGGGTCCCGAGCCCGCGGGCCCCAGGCCGCCGCTGGGGACGGAGTGCGCCGGGAGCCCCGCCCGTCTGTGCCAGGCTGCAGGGCTGCAGGGTGGCGGGCGGTACCTCGCAGAGGAAAGTGAAGATGCCCTGGTGCTCCTTGAGGAGCTTGGCGATGGTGAGGCTGCCGCGCTTGACGCCCCCCAGCGGGTCGAAGAGCAGGTCACGGTTGAGGGTGCCCTTGCGCTCCTCGGTCCACACGTCGATCTCCTCCTGATGGTAGGCGAAGGTGCAGTTATCTCCGTACTTACAGTCCTGCTTGTTAATCATGTCTGCAAAGAGGCAACAGGACACACGTTCCGCCAGGCGGGACGGCAGCCCGCGGTGTCCCCAGGGCACAGACCACAGAGGGCAGCACCCCCGGGCGGGGGTGGGGTGGGGGGACGACTCAGCTCTTCTCCCTCACAGAGGGGTGGGTGGTGGCCTGCAGACCCTGGGGACTTGGGGGCTCTGGTCAGCCCCAGAGCTCGGGAAAGCCCTTGCCAGGCCAGGCCCCTTCTTTGCTCTGCACCTAGGGGTGTGTTTGGGGGGTCCGCAGCTTCATGTGCAGAGCGTGGCTGTCATCTAGCTCCCCCACCCCACAGGGCTACCTCGTGTGGTTCAGGCAAGAAAAGGGCTTCGTGGATGTGTACAAGCCTCTATATAAACACGGGGGGGTTATTTTATTCACCAGGAAAATACCATGGCTAAGGGCTGGGCCTGGAGTCTCGCCAACGTGAGCTGGGACTCCCTTTGCCCTGAGCCTCAACCGCTCGTCCCGCACATGGAGGACACCAGGCTGCGCTGGGGATTCTGTGAGATAATAAGCAGGCCAGGGTGTTGGGAGGGCAGGGGACTTGGGACCTGTTAACCTGCCAGTTCACAGGATGGAAACTGTTTTTCTTTCTTGTCCTTCCTCCTACTCTTTCTGTCTGCCAGTCCCATCCCCCTGCCAGGCTGCAGGCCACAAGGAGGAGCCGGCTAGACGCCGAGCTATGGCTACGACTATTCTTTGCAACCAGCGTCACTCCCTAGGAGCATGTGGGGAAGGGCTCTCGGGGCCAGGCCCGCTCGGGGGAGAAGCAGAGGAGTCAGGGTTCATTGAACTTGGGGGACAGTCAGGGCAGACAGGGAACTTGGAGACCCCATAGACTATGGGCATCAGCCATTGGCCAGGAGAGACCTTCAAGCTCAAAAGTGACAGGATCCTTAAGATCCTGGGGGGTAGGAGGGACTCTGTGGTGGCACAAGGGGTTAAGACACAACCTGAGAAGCTGTCTACAGCCTCTGCAGCACCAGTTCAATCCCTGGCCAGGGAGCTGCCCACATGGCACAGCAGACCTCTCCTGACTCGCCCGCTGCTCCCCTCAGTAATGTATTTCAGTTGATCTGCCTGTTCTGCTCCCTGCTCTGTCTCTGGTGAATCCTTTTCCCCCCTCCTGCCCCCCCCCACCTCTGGCCTGTACCCCAGTGCTTGTATGCATAAGTAAATAAATCTTTAAAAAAAAAATCACAGGGGGGTGGGATACTCATAAAAGCTGCTCTAATGGATGAGAACGAAGTCCATCATTGTGTCTGAAAAAATGCTTTATCTTAGCTTCCCGCAACTAATTGTAGCATTGATTTTAGGACTTTAAGCACCGCATGTTTGTCTGGGACAGTGAGAAATGCAGTACCCAGTGGCCCTCTTTTTTTTTTTTTTAAAGATTTATTTATTCATGCATACAAGAACAAAGGTATAGGCCAGATGTGCAGGAGGGTGAGAGGATCCACCAGAGACAGAGCAGGGAACAGAACAGGCAGACTGACTTAAACAATTGCTGAGGGGAGCAGTGGACAAGACAGGAGAGGTCTGCCGCGCCATGTGGGGAGCTCCCTGGCTGGCAGGAATCGAACCCGTGCTGCAGAGGCTCTGGACAGCTTCACAGCGCTGCTTTCAACCGCCTGTGCCACCAGGGGAGGCCCACCCAGTGGCCCTCTTAAGGGGATCATTAGGCCTATGATGTGGTAGCTTCTGGCAGAGACAATCCAAGGAAGGGCATAACAGTGAGGTGGATCCTTTACAGGCTTAAGGGAGAAATAAATAAAGATCCTTCTGGGAGGGCAACGAACTGGTCTCCAGAGCCTGCCCGGGTTACAGCCAGGCTGGGCTAGGAGACAAGGGCAGGCTCTGCAGCCTCAGCTGCCCCCCGAGCTGTGAGGGTGTGAGGCGGCAGGCCGGGCCGCGGGACTTAACAACAGGGTGTCATCCTGCCTGCCTGAATTGCAGAGGCAACTCAGGTCTGTGACAAATGCCCATTAAATACCAACCCAGCTGACACTGCAGTTTTTAAAAGCTAACATTTGTCCAGCCCTGCCTAAGCACCAGTCCTAGGTGCTTTGCGTGGATTCTCTCCACACCCCGCCAACAGCCCTTCCGGGCCCTGCAGGGACGAAAGAAACCAGCTCTCCAGCGCTGCCTGCCCTTCACCCTTGGGTGCGGGCTGCTGCAGGGGCTCTGGCTGGAATGTGACGTCCTGAATGTTCTGTCTGGCTGGGGGCTGTCAGGGCAGGGTGGCTCGTTCTGAAGTGGGAGTCATCCCCCGTGAGCCTCGAGGCTCCCCGGAGCCCCTAGCCTCTGCTTCCTCCCTCCCCTGTGGGGAGAACCACGCCTGCCCTGCAGACCTAGGCCCAGGCCGTGCAGGGCGCAGCCCACTCACCTTTGCACAGGTAGTAGGAGCCCACGAAGCTGGTCTTGGTGGGCCGGGGCCGGATGCGCTTCCAGGTCTGGTCCTCGGCGCTCCGGAGCCGGCCCAGCAGGGTGTCCCGCTTGCACTTGTGCTCCAGACCCTCCCGGTAGGTGTAGTCGCCTGCCCTGGGGCCTGTGGAGAGAAGTGGACGGGGGGGGGGGGGGGTGTGTGTGTGTGTGTGTGTGTGTGTGTGTGTGTGTGTGTGTGTGACTCTGGAAGCAGAACTGGAGCGTGTGGTGGACCGGCCCAGGCTGTGGGGACCGGCCTCTGCCTGAAAACCTCACCTGGGCCCTCCCGCCATCTGCTCCCCAGAGACAGACGGGCCCCCCAGGAGTCCCCGCTCCACACCCATCCCACCTCCTCCTACCACCTGCTGACTCCAGTGAGCCTGACCGTTTCGGGATTTGCCTGCGATGAATCATGAAGACAAGGCCTGGCACAGAGCAGGCCAACGGGCACTGGAATGGCACTGCCCAGATTCCCTCTCCCTCCCCTGCTCCTTCCTCTTCCCTGTCCTCAGTGTCTTGACAATGGGGCAGGTGGGGGCTTCTCAGAGAGGCCAAAAGAGGGGGCTCCAGCGGGCCCAGTGGGTCTGGAAGCCCGGCACCCCATCATATCTGTCTCTACTCGAAACACCGGGGGGGGATCCTGCTCTCTCGTGCTTTGCTGGGGCTGCAGGCGATGTTTTTCCCTCCTGGGAGTCCACGGTCCCAGCACCCCTGGGACACAGGGGTGGGGGCCAATGGGCCACCTTACCTGTTTTGGGGTAGCAGAGCTGGCAGGCCTGCTTGAACTCGTGGGTGGCAGCTAAGGGGTTCTTGATGAGCAACGCGGTGTTGGGCATGGAGGGCTCTGGCTGTGATGAGGAGCGGAGTCGGTCATCTTCAACATGGACAATGACCAGAGCCACTGGGACCAGTCTGAGCACCAGAAGTGGGAGCTCCGGGACTCTCCCATCCCACTCAAGGGCAAAAGTGTAGCCCAGGACCCTCCTTTCTCTACCCTCCCAGCCAGGGAGCTCCTTGTATCGTGATCCAAGAACCCAGAACATCAGGACCGGATCAGCCTAGTGGGGTGCATGGATGACAGTGATCTTGGCCCAGAACCTGTCCTTGAGTGGAAGCCCAACATGACAGCTGAGAAACAGGAGGGACCCTGATGGGGCCTATGCAGTGCCCTCCCCCACCGCAGCATCTAGCCCCCAAGCCTCCAAGGCATCAGCAGAGGAGACTCAGAGAGGTCAGGTGACGCCCCAGGGCCACACAGCTGGTGTGACCAGCTGAGGCAGCGTTGAGGCCACCTAACTCTCGGCCCAGTGCTCTTCTGGACTCAGAACCCGCTGAGTTCACACCAGGGGTGTGCCATGAGTTTCTTCACCCCTCTGAGCCTTTTGTCCTTTTTTGTCAGACCAGATGGGGCTGTGCCCACCGCCCACCCTCCCAGCATGTGGCTTGGGCCATCCGCACTGAGGGTGCGCCTCCTCGGCCTCCCCCAGGGAGGTGGCACCTCATCCCATACAGAGGGCTCTCAATTCTGGAGCCCACAACCACATTCCCTGCACCCCAGGAGGGCATGGGGTGCCCAGCTGCAGATCCTGGCCACGCCACTCACCGAGGGGGCTGGTTTCTGAGTGCTGCTTGGGGGACGATGGTCCTGTGTGTTGGTTTCCTCTGGGAAGAAGACACAAGGGGGTCACTGCCCTGCTCTGAGGGTCGGAGAAGCCACCAGGCCACACATCCTCTTACTGTGCTGCTCCTGACTTAGGCCCCGCCTCTCTACCTCCACGTGGCTTGTCCCCCACCCCCGCCATGCCCTGGCCTTTCCAAGGCCCCCACTGTCCCAGGAGAAGGCCCAAGCTCCTCAGTGCAGCTCACAGGGCCCAAGACCAGCCTCCTCGATGGCCACCTGCTCTGCTCTTCTGTCTGCGTTGCGCTGTCCTCTGCCCTCAGTTGCCTCCAGCTACCACCTCCAGGAAGTCTCCCTTGGTGCGTACAGCCCCATGAATGAACCCCCTCAGCCACGAGTGCTCTGGGAGAGGAATGGCTGTTTGAAAGTAGGTCCCACAAGGCCTGAGATGGGCCTGCTTCCTCTCTGAGTCCCTGGCAGCCAGCCTGGGTGGTGCTGAAGGAGCCCCATGGTCTGGTATGCTTCCTGCCACTGGCCTTCTGACCCCAGGACCCTGAGAGATTGGGCGAGAGCACCAGACGGGGATTCTGGGGTCCTGAGTTATCTCGGCTTTGCTGTTCGGTCTTCAACAGGACACCAGCCCCCCGTTTCAGCCCCATGCTGCCATGAGGAGCCGCCCTAGAAAGGCCGGCCTTGGCCCCCCACACTCCAGAGCCTGGAGATGTGACAGCTCTTTGCAAGCCACCCAGGGGTGGGGGGTGAACGTGCCCCCCGTGGCTTCTCACCCATGAAGGAATCGGGCTTGTCCAGAGAGCCTCGGGTCGAGCCAAAGCTGTCGAGGGCATCCAGCCGGGTCTCCGAATAGGGCAGCAAGTCCAGGGCATCCAGGGCCGAGCCCGGGGGGTCGAGGGCATCCAGAACAGAGGCAGTCAGCTTCTTGGAGGGGTCCATGACGAGGCCGAAGGAGGCCGGGGGCAGCGGGCTGGAGACGGGGATGGAGCCGCCCACGACCGGTGGCAGCAGCGGGGTCCCGCCGGGGAACACAGGTATCAGCTGGGGCAGCTCGCTGGGCACACCGCTGCCAGGGAGGCCGCCCTGGACCAGAGACTGCGAGGTGGGGGACAGAGGGAGGAGGGGTCAGAGATGAGCCCGCCGGGCCAGGAAGGGGTCAGGCACTGCACAGGCCCCAGCAGGCCGTCCCTTTCCGGAGCCGCACCCCGCCCCGCCCCGGATCTCTGGGTCCCTTCTGCCGCTTCATGCTTCCACCCCCACCGGGCCTTAGCACCCTGCGCGGGACACGGAGCTGGGCCTTCCCTCTACCCTGTGGGACTCGAGGGTGAACGTGGTGGGCCCCAGTGGGAGGGGGCCTCAGGGCCTGGACAGCGGCGTGCTCACCAGGGAGTCCAGCAGGGTGTCCAGCTCCGGCCCGAAGACGTCCCCGTCAGAGAAGTCGTCCAGGCTCTCGGTGCCGGGGAGGGCCCTGCTGCTGCTGTCCAGGGGGGCCAGCAGGTCCAGAACGTGAGGGAACAGGGGCATCGTGGTGGTAGAGGAGAGGGGGGCCGAGGACCCCTGCAGGTCCATGTAGCAGTCTGTGGAGAGGGTGGGCTCAGTAGCTGCAGAGGGGCCTGCTTGGTGGGGGGTGCAGCAGGTACCCCAGCCCTGGCGTCCTCACCCCAAACCCTCCCTTTCCTTGGCTCCTGCCTGAAGCCCTGTTGGTCTGACCCCACTGTGGCCCAGGAGGCGCTGAGGAGCAGGAGTGGCTCCTTCGGGGTACACGTGGGCCTGGCTCAGAGCCTGACTCTCACGCCCCGCAGGTAAGCGGTGGCCTCTCCAAGGGGACACGTTTAAAATGTAAGACTTCAGGGGCCTCCCTGGTGGCGCAAGGGGTTGAGCACTGCACTAGGAAGCAGTCCGCAGCCACTGCGGTACAAGATCGATCCCCGGCCGGCCAGGGAGCTACCCACATGGCGCAGCAGACCTCTCCTGTCTCCCCGCTGCTCCCCTCAGCAGTGTGTTTCAGTCAGTCTGCCTGTTCTGTTCCCCACTCTGTCTCTGGTGACTCCTCTCACCCCCCGCATCTCTGGCCTGTACCCCAGCTCTTGTATGCATAAATAAATAAATCTTTAAAAAAATAAATAAACAAAATGTAAGACTTCGGGGATCCAGCGAGGAGCAGGGGTGAGGACGATGGTGAAGGAGGTGGGCTCCAGCTGGAGGGGGTGGGGGCGGGAGGGAGGACATGGGACGGGGCGGTGGCTGCCTGCCAGGCTGGGGAGACCCTCTTCTCTCCCTGTAGGGCAGCCCGGGGTCCTCAGCCCACCACTGTCTACCGTGGGCGCTGGGGGGGACCCTGACTCACTTGACCTCCCGGGGTCTTGGGGGCAAGGGCCACCCCCCCCCCACTGCCGTCGCCATCCCGCCCCTTACATCAGGAGCACTACCTGTTTCGATGTCATCTATGGACCCCAATCCATTGGAAGTTCCCTGTGGAGAGGAGGGAGACACAGGCCAGGCTGACGTGGGCTGGGAAGGCAACGGAGCCCGCACTCAGCGCCCCGGGTGGCGGCTGCCGACGGCCAGCACCGAGGAGCAGGGGTGCTGGCAGGTATTAGCCACGAGGCCCATCGCCCCCCAGGGGGATGGGCAGGCAGGGGCAGGGGCAAGGGTCAGACAAGCCTCACGGTGCCCTGGCTGGGGGCTCGGGGTGAAGGGACAACCTCCTCTGAACCTCGGTTCCTCTGGGAAGGGGGCAGAGTTCCGGGTGAGTGTACCCAGGCAGACCCACGTCTGTCTCCCCTGCAGCCTGGGAGGGCCCCAAGGCCCAGGACACACCTGACTCAGCTCTGCCCCGCAGTCAGTCAGGGGCCGAGACGGGCCTGGAGTTTGGTGAGTGAATGGATGAAAGCGCAGTGAGCCGGGAGGCAGGAGGCCTGAACTGCCTCAATTTAGCCAAGTCCCTGCCTCACTCTGCCTCGCTCTCCCCCGAGGGACCCCAGGCTGCACCAGATCTCTCCCAGCCTGCCCTTCATCTTCCAAGTGGCTGCAAAGCCCACCTGAGCAGCTCAGCTGCAGTGAGTGGCATGGAGTCCAGTGCTGGGCGCTGCCACCCCTGCAGGACAAGGCCGGGCACCTTGTACCCATGGCCCTGCTTCCTGCTTCCTGCTGCTGCTGCTGTCTCCCCCAGGGGGCAGCCCTGCCGGTTCTCCCGCAGGGACCAGTCGAGCAGCAGCAGCGCGGTCCCAGGAGGCCCCAGGGGTGCCACGTACCCCAGAGCTGACCCGCGACTCTAGCCATGCGCAGGCTCTAGCCACCCCCTCTCCCAGGCTCACAGCAGTGGGACAAGGATGGGAGCCCCACCCTTCGGTCTGATGACCCGAGTGTGAGACCAAAGCTCTTGTGCTAGATAAGCCAAGACAGGTTGGCCCAGTGTCGGGTCCCAGCCCCCACCCTACCTGATCTGCCACGCCAGCCACGGTGCCATTGCTGAGCAGAGAAAAGGTTTCCAATTCCTGCCAGAGATCAGAGAGGTGGGGAGGGATGAAACTCGAGACGTTCCCTCAGCTCCCACTCAGCCGGGCAGCAGAGGGCCCGGCAGCGGCGGGCAGGCCTGGGGTGCTCTCCGTGGCCTGTCCACAGGTCTGGCGGGACTCAACTGTCCGTTCCCTGGGTCGCATCTGTGTGATTTGTTCAGGTGACCGTGGCGCTCAGAGGACGTCCAGGGCACACTCCTGTGGCGTGCCTGTACCACCTCAGACATTCTCTCATGGACCCTTCTGGGGTGGGATCATCATCCCCACTTTCCAGAGCAGAGAGCAAGGTGGAGAGACAACTAAACCGCTCAAGGCCACAACAGGGATTCTAGAGTAAAGCCCTTTCCTGGAGCAGCTTCCTGGGACACAGGAGGTGCCAGTGCGTGTATGGCTCTGAACGGGCCAAACAGATGCCAGCGTTCCCGGCGTGTGCCCTGCCTGGGTATGTGAGAACAGGAGGCTGAAGGATGCCAGAGACAGCCCGGCGGGTGGCCAAGCCGGCCAGGGCAGGGGAGGGCACGGGGCTCAGCAGCCAGCATCTGAGTGGGCTGCACATTCCCGCTGTCCTCTCCTTTTCCAGAAGGTTCTGGAAGTCGTCCAGGACTTTCAGACAACAGAGGGATGGTCACCTACCGCCACACCCTCTGTCCTCACATGACCTGCCAACATCATCCGCTTTCCCAAGGGTGCCGGGGCCCTCCAGGCCTCCCCATTTCCAGTCCCATCCACCCCAGGGCCCACTTACCTGGGGTCTCTTATACGCCTTCCGAACTCGCAGCCCAAGCTTCTGAGCCAGCTCCTGGCCGAGCTGAGTCACACTCTCATCCTGGGAAGCAGACACAGGCTGAGGCTGGTGGGCCTGGGCTCACAAAGCTGTGTTTTGGGGACCTTGGGTAGCCCCGGGGGTGGAGGGGAGACAGACGCTGCTGCCACCCCACACTACAGACAGGGAGTGAGGCCCTGGGAGGGGACACTGGCTCCCGCGTCACGCGGCCAGGAACGAGGTGGGGACTAGGAACCCAGGCTGCTGCTCTTCCTCTCATTTTAGGGAGGAGAAAGGACTCATTTTTGGCTTGATCTTAATCATCTGTTTATTTCTAAGACTCAGCAAGTCACAGTGGCACAGGAGACTGCATGTCAGAGAGGGAGCATGCTTTCTTGGCCTGATGCGTCCCTGCGTCTTTCCCAGGTTACCTACACGCACGTGGATCCCTGAAAGGACACCTCCATTTGATTACTGGGGATTTTCTCTTTTTTCACAGGTGGGATCACATTACACACATTGTTCTATAGTTTGCTCCCTTCACAACAACGTCTTGGAACTTTCTGCAAGCAAGGACATGTGGCTGGGGCCCAGGGCGTGGGGATCTAGAACGCACCGGCCACCGTCAGGGCTCCCTCCAGCGCCAGCGAGCCTTCCTCCCTGCGAGGCCACGTGGTCCTACCTGCACCATGTGCTCACACGAGCCAGGGCCCGGCTCACCCAGTCCCTGGCAGGGGCCCCCAGGTCTCAGGGAGGCTCCAGTCCAGTGGGGACCCAACCAAAAGTGCGAACGCAGGACACCTGTGCGTCCATCCACCTTCCTGCCTCTGGAGCCCAACCCCAGGGCCTGAGCCATTTGGGCTCTGAATGGCCAGTGTGGAGCAGGGCTCAGCCAGGATCTGCCCACAAAGACGGGGGTGGGGGGTGTCTCCAGAGTCAGAGTCCTGGTTTGGGTATTTTGCTCAGGCGAGATGCCAGCCCCAGAGCCGCCCCAGGCTCCCAGGAGTGGGCAGTCGTGAGACTTGGGTGTGGACTTTGCTGTGAACATGGGGAAAAACCACTGATCAGGGACAACTGTCATAAGAAAGGTCCTCAATGGTGAACTAAACTCAATTAGGGAAGTGAGAACACTGAGCAGAAAGTACAACAGTGAACGTTTCCGGAACGCTTACTGTGACCGGTCACTGTGCCAAATAACCGGCGTATCTGTCTGAGTCCATCCTTGGCACAGCCCTTGATGCACGCTCAGTCTGCTTCACAGGGCTGCAACCAAGGCTCAGAGAGCCAAGCCAGGCGTCCAAGGTCACACAGCCAGCAGGTGGCAGATCCAAGGCTAGAACGTGCAGCCGGGCCAGCTCTCCAGCACCTACGCCCTTGACTGCTGTGCACATGAGCGCCTCCCTGCTCCTCTGCTCAAACCCCTTGCTTCTCCCAGCCCCACCTTCTCCAGGGAGCCCTCCAAGGTCTGACCACTCCTGGGCCCTCTCCACCCTTCTTGGGCAGCATTTACTCTCCTCCAAGCCTTTCACACACATGACCTCAGCGCTAAAGGGGGAAGGAGACGATAGGCGTGGAGCTGATGCGCCGAGGGGAAGTGCTTGGCCCCAGGTCAAGTGGGGGTCAGGGGTGAGCCCGGATGAGACAGCACTGCTATTTCCACTGGCCTCCCAGCAGAGGTACAGATCTGGGCATCTGGTAAGTGCTTGTTAAGTGGACGCGTAAATGGTGGGGTGCGTGCCCAGCCGTGGTGCGCTGGGGCGAGCAGGGCTGTATTTGTTACCTCCTCTCGTCGCCTCCCCACCTCGCAGGCCTGAGGCTCACGTGAAACCACCTTTAGTCCTCGCCGCAACCCTGTCCTTTGAGAGGCCGGGTGCTAAGTGCCCACTTGAGAATTGCGCTTCCTGGGCTTAAATCTTAGCTCTGCCAGCCCCTAGCTGTGCTCTTGGGTAGCTCCTTTCTCTCCGGGCCTGACCTCATCTTTCAAAAGCAGGGTTGTTGTGAGGATGGGTGAGTTAAGGCACGGGAGGTACGTTAGCGGTGGCCAGTGGCCGGCTCAGCACCAGAGCTCCCCATGGGAGCTGCATGGCCCGGCCCGGGGCGGCACTCACGTGGGGCAGGGCGAGGGAGCACCGGCTGCTGCACTCGTAGGCCTCCTTGTGGCGCCCCAGCTCCGTGAGGGCGCGCGCCTTGCGGAACAGGGCCCGGATGTTCTCCCCATCCAGGCCCAGCGCCTTCTCGCTGTCCTCCAGTGCCTTCTCGTACAGACCCTGCCGAGAAGAGGAGCAGGCAGCTGTCAGCCCTGTCACCCTCCCCCAGGCCTCAGGCCCCGCTGAGACCAAGCCGGGCCTTGGGGACATCCAAGCGCCGCCTCCCTCCCCTGCAGAGGTAGAGGCTGCTGGAGGCCTGGGGCCAGGCATGGGCCTCAAGAGCTCTGATCTAGGGCATGTGTGTGTCCAGCCTCAGGGGCTGCTGGTCTATGGGGACGAGCCCCGTCCCTCGGACACGGCTGCTTCCACGTCTGCCTTCAGTTCAGAACGCAGACTGACAGCGATTTGCCTCCCTTGGTGAGTCTCCTCCTTTGAGAGGAAGTGCGATCAGTGTAGAGTATGAATAAGACTCGTTCACCCAGAACAGGGCACTTTGAGTAGCACAGGTGCTGCTGGAGCCCCCACAAAGCCCCCACAGCCCCCACCGTTCAGTGAGCCAAAGGCCAGGGAGGGGGAAGCTGGGCCCTAGGGACATCCTCACAGGGCAGGGATGGGGCACCAGTATCATTTTCTGAAAACCATGTGTTAGTCCTTTAAAGGCTCTCCAGGTGAGTAAGCCGCGTAGCTTGGGCTGAGAGCCACGGGGCAGGTGGTGAGATCCAGCTGGGAGGTGGAGGAGCTGGCCTGCAGGCTCTGGGGGCAGGGCTTCTGGGCCCCGGGGCTGGGCATCTGGCCATGCGACCGGGCAGGGTGCAGGCAGGCAGGCCGCGCTCACCATGGTGAAGTAGCAGGCGGCCCTGTTGACATGCAGCTTGCACAGCAGCTCCCGGGGCAGGGCCACCTGGTCGGAGGCGGCGTAGTCGGCCACGTTCAGGCCCTCCATGTACTGCACCAGCGCCTGCTTGTAGTCCTTCTCCCGGAACAGGTCATTGCCCTCGGCAAACAGGTTCTGTACCAGCTTGAGCAGAAAGGCCTGCGGGGGCAGGGAGGGGGCAGAAAGGGCTCAGAGGGCTTTTTCTATGCAGCCCCGACACCAGCCTCTCCTGGACACCACTGCCCTCAGCGACCCCCAGCCCAGCAGCTGACACTTACCTCATATTCGTCTTGCTTTAGGGGTAGTGTCGACCTAGCAGGAAGAGAAGGGGGACACAAGGCCAGGGTGAGCCCCGGCCTCCAGGCCTCACGAACGCCCCCGGGAACCAGACCACCGCCAAGGATGGTGTCAGGGGTGAGGTGTCCTCCGACAGCACCTCGCGGTGGGCTGAGGGGACAGCAGTCTTCCATCCCTAAACAGCTTCATCTTCCACAGGCCACACTCTGTCCTAACGGTCACCTCACCTCGGTGTTTAAGCCCCTCTAAGAGCCCGCACCGACCGACCCCTCCAAACCACACCATGGTCCCACATTGCGCTGCACGCGGAAGGGCCTGAGTATTTGCTGAATGCGTGGCATCCGCGTGTGAGAAGTCACTGTGGCAGGAGCAGCACCCTGTGCCACCCTGAGGGTGCCCCTCAGGAGGCCCCACTAGCGCTAAGCCTTCCCAGAATTCCCCTTTGGACAGCGCAAGGAGGACGCAGAGCTAACATTTACCCCATGAGGAAAGTGGACGTGGGGGAGCTGGAATTCAGATCCAGGTCCGTGGGGATGTCACAGAAATCAGGGCCTTAAGCTCAAAACCCAGTTCTTTTGAAAGTCTCTGCAGACTCACCTCTCCACCAGATTGGCCTCTGAGTGCAGTTTGAACACTTTCCCCAAGTCAAACCCCCCCAAAGAGAAGCAGACTGCCCCCAAGAAAGAGGAGGCGGGGGGTACAGCGCTGATGCCGGCCGGGCCAGGAACAGCCAGGGCACAGGCTGAGGGAGGGACGTGTCGGGTGGGAACAAACCCGGACTCCGTGTGAGCCACATGGGCCTGCGGACAAGTGCGTGTGCTCGAAGGACCCTCGTGATGACGAGGACAAGGGAAGGAAGGTCACATCTCGTAAGTCTGGGGTGGGGTGTGGGGGGATGTGAGGTCAGCAGATGAGAACCCCATCTTTGTAGGGAGTCCTACTTAAGAAAAAGACAAAATTTGAAACAAAAAAATGTAGGCTCTCCCGGGGCTTTGGAGAAGGCCCGCGCAGATGAGGAGGCCAGAGCTCGGGCTGCGCCAGTATCGTGAAAAATACGCCTCTGAGGATCTTTTTGAGAGAGAAGAGAAAAAATTTAGTCAAGATATTCTGTGTGCAAAGGATAAACAAACATGGCGTGTGGGCACTGGGGGTGGCGTGGGAAAGGAGAGTGGATTGTGGAGCCAGGCAGAGCTGGCTTAGCATCCTGACGCGTAGCGGCCGTGTGACCTCAACCAAGCTCCTTAACCTCGCGGAGCCTCAGCTCTCTCCTCTGCAAAATGGAGGGAAAACCACACGTTGCTGAGCTGCTGGGAGGAGTAAAAGGACGCGGCATGAGTGGGGACGACTGAGTCGGTGCAAGACGTGCCGGGCAGGCAAGAAAAGGAACCGGGGGCACGAGTGTGTGTGCGCGGGGGGCACGAGCCATCTACTGGGCAAGACCAAGGCGTGACGGAGGTCAGGGAGCGCGTGCACGTGGGGTCCAAGGCTCATGTTCAGACGCACCTCCTGGCCCTGCCACGCCAGACCCCTCCCAGCACACCCCGCAGGAGCCTGAACAGCGGAGGCTGGGGGCGGCGGGGGCAAGGAAAGCGAGAGCTGGAGAGGCAGGGGTTTTGGGGAGGCCCGTGGAGGACCCGGCCCTGCCCGGCCCTGCGGCACTCACTGAATGAACTGCAGCCCCTTCTCGATGTCGGCCTTCCGTCTCTGCCTCTCCATCAGTCTCTGGGGAGAGAACACAGCCGTCAGCCGGCCCCTCGGCAGGGGCCTGTTCCTGTTCTCACGCCCCGTCTCATCCCATTTCACTGGCATGGGGGGGAGCCACCCAGGAGGGCACCCCGTCTCTGTCCCCGTTCCCTGTCCATCTCTGGGAGGACGCAGACCCCGAACCAACCCACCGCCCGCTGCCTCTGGGTTTGCGCGGTGCCAGGGATGGGCACGGGGCTGCTTGGAGACCACCAGCCCGTCCTCAGATCTGATGCTGCCAGGACACGCTCAACTTCAGAAGAAAAATCTTGTTTCACCACTAAACTCAGTTTGGCAGAAAAAGCAAAAGCCCGGGGCTTCCACGGGCACCAGCACAGGCGGGCGCCACACGAGGCTCCTGCCGATTCTTTCGAGAGCACAGTGGGCAAGAGTCCCGTGCCCCAACGCCACCACAGAGGGCCCTCCCGCACCCTGCACCCCCAGCAGCGGGCCCTGGGCTCCGCATCCCTGGGACAGAGGCGGAAGGAACTCCCGGCTCACGGGTGAGGCTCAGAGAGACTGGGGGCTGCCCGAAGCCACACCAGGAGTGCGCGCTCAGACATGGCGCAGGAAGCCTGCTGCAGGGGCGCAGGGTGAAGGCTGAGGCAGGAATGCTTAAGGACAGAGGAGAGCAGTTAGAGTCCAGGGGACCCCTCGGCTAAAAGCCACACACATCTCCCCCTCCCACCCAGGCAGGAGCTCACAGCCAAACAGCCTCCCCCACCCCACACGCCACTACAGCGCCGTCCCACAGGTGGGGATTCCTGTCATGCAGCACCGCTCCTCCCTCCTACAAAGAACTACAATTATTTCCTGGGAGGGCTGGACTGCTGCCTGCCATGACCCCACTCTGCAGGAGGCGGGAGGGCCCAGTGGGCCTCAGGCTGGCTCTCTGCCCTCAGTTTCCAATCTGACAGCTCTCGTCATGTGCACCCTCGCCCCACGCTCTAGGCTTCCAGTCACAATGGGCTGAGGTTTTTCTGCGTCCTGGCCTTGGCCCTGACTTCCCTATGCCGCCTCTTGCTTCTCTCCATCCTGCGGGGAAAGTCCACCTGTCTTTCAAGGCCAAGCCTCACCCCGGAACCTCTTCTGAGCCTTTCAACATGATGGTCACACACTTGCTCCTTCTGTCTCCCAGGAACCGAAGGTGGCCTGGGCCATCCTGGCCCTGGAAGAGGCTTGTTGGAGGGGGATAAGGTGTACACAGCCCACGCGCTGGGCCCAGCGCGGCCACCAAGTCCCACCGAGTCTGGATCCAACCCTCATCGCCCCCCCACCTGGGTGCCGCCAGGCCCCCCAACACATGGAGGGGAGCAACGCAAGGTGACACCGGTCAGAGGACTGCGTCTCACGGGGTCCAGGATGCAGGGGGCAGGGCCTGGAGGGGCTACTGAAAGGGAGAAGATGTTTACAAATGACACAATTGACAGGGACTACAAAGAACTCATCCAAATGAACAACAACAAAAACCCAATTAAAAAAACGGGCAGATGTGATCAGACACTTTTCCAAAAAGGCCGCACGGCGCTCAGCAGACAGGAAGAAACATACTCGCCGCCCCTTTCAGTAAGAGAAATGCAACTCAAAACCACCACGAGATGTCCTCTCCCACTTGAGGGCGGCCCACATCAGCAAGGCTCCCAAAGCAAGCGCTAGTGAGGATGTGCAGAAGGACCCTCGTATGCGGCTGCTGGGAACATAAGTTGGTGCCGCCAGTTTGGATCATGGCCTTTCTTTAAAAATTGAAAATGGGGGCCTCCCCCACGGCGCAGCAGGTTGAGCGCAGTGCTGTGAAGCTGTCCGCAGCCTCTGCAGTGCGGGTTCGATTCCCGGCTGGCCAGGGAGAGTCCCACAAGGCGCGGCAGACCCCTCCTGTGACACCCACTGCTCGGCTCAGCAGTGTACTTCAGTCAGTCTGCCTGTTCTGCTCCCTGCTCCGTCTCTGGTGAATCCTCTCACCCTCCCACGCCTCTGGCCTGCACCCCAGCTCTTGTATAAATAAATAAATCTTAAAAAAAAAATTGAAAATGGAAATATTCACGACCCAGCCCCCCTCCTTGGGCTTCTAGCTGAAGAACATGAAACCATACACTCAGAGCCTGCAGGTTCCACAACGTTTCCCGCGGCGTTATTTACAGCGCTGAGGTCTGGAAGCAGCCAAAGCGCCCGCACAGGGGGAGGACAGCGTGGTCAATCCAGAGGACTGCTCGGTGAGAAGGCAAGATGGCGTCTGGTCACTCACAGCAAAGGGAGGGGTCTTGAGGGAACATGCACGGACAAGTTAGCCAGAAAGATAAAGACAGATGTTGGCTGATGTCACACGCAGGGAACATAAACAAAGCATAGAAACAATAGAAAATATCGCAATAAATAATAGAAAAAATAATAGAAAAAATAGAAATAAACGAGTGGACCTTGGTTGCCAAGGTTACCAGAGGGGAGGGGCGCGGTGGGAGGCTGGGTGATGGCGAGAGGGCAGGGGGTGGGTATTTTGTTGTTGCTTTTTTGTTTGTTGGATTTTTATTCTTCAAAAGTTTTCTGAACTGGGCCTCCCCGGTGGCGCAGCGGTTGAGCACTGGGTTGCAAAGCTGCCCGCAGCCTCTGCAGCGCCGGTTCGATCCCTGGCTGCTCCCGGGCCACCGGCGAGGGTCCCGCATGGCGCGCAGACCTCTCCTGCCGCCCGCTGCTCCCCTCAGCAGTGTATCTCATCACTCTGCCTGTTCTATTCCCCACTCTGTCTCTGGTGAATCCTCTCACCCTCCCGTGCTTCTGACTGTACCCAGTGCTCGTATAAATAAATAAATAAAATAAATCTTTAAAAAAAAAAAAAAAGTTTTCTGAACAAGGAAAAGACAAAGCCATTGGCCTGAGACCCACAAAGGAAACAGTCCTTTTTCCAAACTGGAGAATGGTTTCAAGATGATGGCATTTTGGAGGCTCAGCTCTTCATGGGTCCGGGCAGGCATGGTGCCAGCCTGTTACAAACCTCAACACCCGGCCCTGCGCTTGGCACAGAGCAAGTGCGCAGTGATGCCGGCACAATAAATGGATGAAGAGTCACTGGTCCAAGCCACGTAGCACGTGGGTAAACGCGGACACGAGATTGCCACGCGGGGGCTGCCACTTTACACAAACCCCATGAGCCAGGCCCTGCGATCACTCCCACGCTGCAGAGGCGGAAACAGACGCAGAGGAGTTGAGTGACTTGCCCAAGGTCACAGAGGCAGTATCTGGCAGGGCTGGGATTCCAACCCCAAGTGTCTAGTCCCAGAACCCACACACATCTCTCTCTCACCCTTACTTTGGCCCCTTAGGTAACCAGTCCCACGAGCTCTTGGTCTGTCCTCACACTCAGCTCCCCCCTCCAAACCCCCAAAAATAATTCCCTCTTTTGATCCCGAATTCCCTTCTGGTTGACACACAAGCTTGCCTTCCCGTCGTGGCTGCCTCTTGGGAAACACTTGTCTATTCCATCTCCACGGCCTCTTCTCCACTCCACTCCCCGACGCATGGCAACCCCATTCCCCCCACCCCCAAAGCCACCTGCCAAGGGTCCTCCCACCCCAGGGACCTCCTTGTTGCTGAGTCCAGGGACACTTTTTCACTTGCCTCTTCTGGGGCTCTCAGCTGCACCTGCCTGGTCCCCCTCATACCTTTCTGATCACCCCAATTCTGTCTCTGCTGGGGCTCCTCTTCCCCTTCCCTGATCTCGACTGATCCAAGCATCCATTTAAGGGACAGTGCTGCTCTCCCCCCTCCACACACTGTGTGCAGACGAGCACCGCACGCCCTCGTGAGTCATGTCCGTGACTCACACCTCCATTCTCCTGCCACACTCAGCCCCTGCCCGGGATCGCAGACTCTTATCTCTCACCTCCTGGGCAGGGCTACCTGGATGTCCAACACCCAGGCTGCCGACGACCTCATGTCTTAACTGATCCTGGGCCCTCTAGCAGGGATGCCCCAGCCCACGGCCACCCAACTCCTCTTTGTCCTTTAAGACCCAAATCAGGGCCTCCCCGGTGGCGCAGCGGTTGAGCGCTGGGTTGCAAAGCTGCCCGCGGCCTCTGCTGTGCCGGTTCGATCCCCGGCTGCTCCCCGGCCACCGGAGGAGGGTCCCGCATGGCGCGCAGACCTCTCCTGCCACCCGCTGCTCCCCTCAGCAGTGTACTTCGGTCCTTCTGCCTGCTCTGCTCCCCGCTCTGGCTCTGGTGAATTCTCTCACCCTCCCGCGCTTCTGACTGTACCCAGTGCATGTATAAACAAAACAAACAAACAAACAAATAAATAAATTAAAAAAACATGCCTCTATAAAAAAAAAATTAAAAAAAAAAAAAGACCCAAATCAGAGGCCTCTGTGTCCAGCGCTCCCCAGTGACCAGGGTGTTCTTCCAACCCAACACATTCCACGATTACCTCGACAGCCTTCCACCAACCCTGCTCTTCCTCCATCACCCCCAACTCGAGCCATACCCCGGCGCTCATGCTGCCCTCAGTGTCCAATTCCTCCCTCCGACCTCCAGAGCCTCCACTCTGCAGGCCCGTCACCTTCGCAATCACAGCCATCGCTAGACCCTTTCATCTCTCGCCAACAACCTCCAACGAGCCCCTCCAGCCAGCCGCTGTTTGGTGTCAGGGATAACCGACAACGCACGTGCATGTCCCCCCCTGCTCACACCCTCCCAGACGCGCCGCACACGCACACCGGCGTGGAGGTGCGGGAGGTGACGCCGAGTGAGCGTCCGTGTAGCCATGTGCCAGGACCATTTTTCTGGCTTTGATCCTGTGTGACAGCGACAGAAAAGCTCGCCATCAGGGGAAGCTGGGTGAAGGGGACTCTTTGTGCTATTTTTGCAACTTCCTGTAAATAAAAAGTCAAAAAACAAACAAAACTTTCCATGACACCCACTACCAGGAGGACAAAAGCCAAAGTGCTGGTCCCGGGGCGCAAGGCCCTGCAGGGCAGGCCTGGCCTCCCC